CTAGGAAAGCACATAAAATATCCTTGAATGATTATAGAGAAGGCCCATCAAGGTGAAGGTAAATCTGTATATATTAGGAAATACATAGATTTCCTTTTGTAGCTTATTTATTTTTTGTTATTTTTTTCTGTTTTTTTCTGTTTTTTCCTCACTTTACAGCATTAAAATCCCTCAGTGTCTTAAGTGAACTCCATAAGACAAATTTGAGAAGAGTGACTTATCAAAAGCTAAAATACTTATTGAAGATTGAGAAAAAGTAGTCTATATATTACAAGAAGAACAGTTGAGGTTAATATGCAAAAGGCCAGTAAGGTAGACATATTTGTATTAAGCTACAAGTGTATGACTATAAGGAATCTATAACTTATATCCTATTTATACTTAGTAGACATTTCCTTATGCTACCTAGAAAAGAGCTCTATCTGGGTCAGCATATGGCCACAGGCCTACCTATGCCCAGACAGTGTTCAAGCACCACTCAATAATATTGTAGATAGGTCACTCACTATACCTAATTCAAATGTGAATATGAATTCATGGTGTACTGGCAGGTGTCATAGGCATTATAGATGCCTTAGATATATTATACAACTCCTGTATGACTACTAAGCCCTACTGTCTTGAGTATGCCAAGCTACAAAGCTTGGCAGAAGTGTGCCCATGTTTGGAGTATAGAGAGTGTGGTGGGTTATAGTAGTGCCACTGTAGACATCTGAAAAACCACCCCCTTGTATTAGCTCTGGATTATATCTAATAGTGTCTAAAAGTATTTAAAAGTGTTAATAGCATCTAAAAGTATCTAATTTCCTAATTGTGAGCAATATATTGTGAGCATTGGATTAGTTTCTAATTTCATGATATTAGCACTAATTCTATACTAAGAAGTCTTTAATTAGCAGTAGGAAATAGTAAGTACTACTACTCTATCAGTGAGAAGGTAAAGATGTGGCACATTCTATACTGTTTCAGCATATTACTTTCCTTCATATATGCCTGCACCATTATCTTGTAGCTCTTTTGCTAACTTTCTAGCTGCCTTTAAAAGGGACATAGAAAGAGAGAAATGTGCATTGATGCCCCTAGCCACTTTGGTGGCAGCTTGGCAGCTGCCACAAGAGGCTATGAAGACCTTGGTACCTTGGCCTTGCACACAAGATTATTAAAGTTGTCATTGTTAGCTAATGCCTGCTACTGGTTATTATAGGACACAATGTGTGGGTTAGGCTTAGGGATGTGCTACATACAGCCTTGCAGACCTTGTCTATTAGTACAGTGGTCAATACTATCTTGTGCAGCACACAATCATTATCACTATTGATAGTACAATTTTTAGCACTATTTATATTGTTCATTGCCTTGTTATACAGAAGATGCTCAAACTTGGTGTTTTCCTTTAGCTATTAGGCTGTGGAAAAGACAGTCATGTTGGTATGTGGTGCTAGAATGATATATTTGCCTGCCACATAGAAAATATATGCACTAAGCATATTAAGATCACCTTCAACAATCTTGTGCTTATTTATATTTAGGCATGCCATACATATACCCTTGTCCCCACCCTCTACCTTACTAGTGGCTATTTGGAAAACCCCTCTCTCTTATTGGATCTTAATTATTCATAATTATTAATAATACTAATTTGAGCTAATTATGGCTAATTGTTCATAATCATGTTTTTGATCAAATTTGCAAATTAAGGTAGTATTGTCTATACTAGTAGAGTCCTATTGAATATTACACTCAATCATAGTTTTATATATTCTAGATCCAAATTATGTAAATGCCATAATTTGTTTTTACCCTATATAAAGTATATTATTTATTTTCCATTGGTTTATTATCTTCTTAGCTAGTGTTTAAACTAAATCCTAAAAAACCTAACTTTTTAGGTATTTATTGACCTGTTTATTTATAAGACAGAGGAAAGATAAATGTTGAATAAAATCAGAAATATTGAGATTGCCTATATTATGTTTACTTATTCTGATTACCAAGATAATATATTAGACCTTGTGGCTTAGTAGCTTAGAGCATTTGTTCTGGGTGCTTGTATACATGAGGTTATTGGTTCAACTCTGTCAAAAGGCAAGTTTGTAGTAAGGTATATTCTGTGTTTAGGTATTTAACTAGTGCTCTATTAAACATGACTCTATAAGAAGGCTATGAGAACTATGATGCTTGATTTATTATTATTTTTCTGAAATTTCAAGTTATAATGAATCCTAATAATTCCTAATTTAGGAAAATTATGTCTAATTAGAACAGGTTTAGAGGGGGGTAAGCTAAAAATGTCTAATCCTAATTGTTCTTAATTATGCATAAATAAAACTAATTAGAGCTTAATACAAAGGGGTGGTTTTCCAGATGTAGTCTGGCAGTCTAACAGTTCTATGGGGTCTGACTTTCTGATGCAAAAAAGAACTGATATTCTGAAATATTAACCAGGCCTGAACCATTGAATATCTGAGTGACAGTAGCCTAAGTTAACTGAACATTCTGAACCAGCTGAAATAACCTCCTTAAAGACCTGAAGCTTGTAAAAACATATACCTGATGACCTGTGGTCTGAAGTGCCCTAAAATGCCCTAAAAGCCTGATGGAATTATCTCTTTAGGGCATTTTGGGGCACTCCAGGGAACATACCAAGTTGCTAATGTAGTTTTTCATCATGCTCATATGCCGGCTCTTTTATAAGATGGCAAGCTCAAGTTACTTCATCCGGTAAAAGCAGCCAAAATTCACATTATCTCCAATATACACCCCATTTTTAACAAATCAGGGACTGGATATTCGGCTGTGTTCAAAACTTATTGGACCATTTCAAGGAAGTGTGCAGCCGAGATGGAGAGTGGAAATTGAATGCTAGCATGCAATGGTTCACTTTCCTGCTATCCCCAACTGAGACAATCAGACAATTGCTTATTTCATGGTCCTAGATATTGCAATTCATGAAACGCAAAGACAACAAGAAAGGAATGAGCAAGGGGCATACAGTCTCCAATATTTTTGAAACACAACAAAAAATAAAGCGAACGACCGGGGTCATGGGGTCCTAAACAATTTTCTCATTTGCATCATCGTGCTATATATAACACATGTCAGCGAGGGGTGTCATGTAGAGTCAGAAGTGTACAAACCACTACATCTTTTTGATGAGAAATAACATCCTCGAGCGTCTTCCTTTCCACATCCTTTTTGACCTTCCACACGGTGAAAATATGGCCTTGTTCGAAAACAGCCTCGATCTCCTCCAATGTCCGACCTGCCATCTCGGGGAAGCAGAACAAGATATGGATGAAGGCTGCAAAGTTGAAGGTACCAAAGATGAAGTACGTCTTGTATGCGATGGAGCTTAAACCAGGCGGGACTGCCCATGCGAGCGCAAAGTTGAACAGCCAGTTGGTCGCGGTGGATAACGAGACAGCCTTCACACGCACGCGCATCGGAAATATTTCAGCCGGGTAAGTCCAAGACACTAGCAAAAAAGTTTAAAAAACATCTATACGAGACAATGGCACGACGTACCTGGACCCATGGTGACTGCAAAGCTAGGATCGCGTTCTAAGAACCAGAAATACCAAGAGACAAGAGAGATTGTCACTCACCTGCACACAAAGAGGTAGGAGTAGACGATGATACCCTTCGTGACACTGTCATGTCCTTCAATGATCCAAACGCGATTAGTACCAACCGTACCCCAGTGTCCGTATCTGCCTTGCAGACCGCCGATGAGCATCAGCCAGAATCCCATGAACAGTGTGCCAGCAAGAAGCATAGGGCGGCGACCCCAGTGATCAATGTAGAGAATGGCGGGTACTGTCAAGTCTGTCAATATCATAAGTAACTGAGCACATACTAGGGAAACCAACCAGTAAGGGCAACATTGAGAACATATTGAACAGAATCGGCAATCAGGTTCCCACGGCGACCTGTCAGACCAGCGCCTTGGAACACGTAGATGATATAGTACCTACAGGCACATAGTCAGTATCAATGAAGATGAAGAAAGCGAGATAAAATCACATCATGGTATTCACACCAGATAACTGAGACCACATCTGGAGCGATGCGCCGAGCCCGACACGACGGAAAATTCCAGGCTTGAAAAGATCCAAGTAAGACTTGGCGTCCTCGATACGCTCAAAGTAGACCTGTTGTTTGATCTCCTCAAACTCGAGCTGCACAAGTGCATTGTTGGGATTACCTCCACCATGAAGATCCACGAGGATCTGGAGTGCTTCATCCTCCCTGTGCTATTTTATCAGCAGGTAGTGCTTGTCAGGTGTCCATTTGATATGAGAAGATGGACCTTCCATGATCAATGAGCCATCGTGGAGATTCGGGGAACACCAGCATGCCCATAGAGAGAACGACAGCTGGTATCATTTGGAGACCCCACGGGATTCGGAACGAGGCTACTCCATTGATATAGGAACAGCCAAACTGGATGAAGTATTGAATGAGGATGCCCCAAGTGATGGACCATTGCTGCATGGCGACGAGACGTCCCCGAATATGAGGAGCCGTGATCTCTGACTAATAAACAGGAACGACAGCGGACGCAAGGCCGACAGAGATACCAGAGATGATACGACCAATGACTAGCATACCTCGGTTCTGTGTATCTGGGAAAGATCCTATGTCATGGAATGAAAAGCTGTCAGAATAAGAGATGCTTACGATTGAAGCGCACTGCAAAATCGAGCCGATGACCCAAATGATACCAGAAAGGATAACAATCTTTTTGCGACCGAATTTATCGGCAAGAGCACTAACGGCGAGCGCGCCTACGAACGAACCCGCAGGCATGGCGGCAACGATTGCACCTTGAGCATTAGGACCGGGCTTTATTGACCCAAGGTAAGCAGACAACGCAATTGTCAAGGCTAAATGACACGTACTGAGCTGAAAGTCTTCAGGTAAGCATCGTTCTGAAGGCTCAATATGCAATGATAAGGGACCAATCTTACTGCTGACTTAACCTAACTAATACCACTCACGTTGAGCACACCAGACATAGACGAGATGTCCAACCCAAAAAGGCCACCGCCTATACACGCAAAAGAGCCGACCACATACTGGATGAGAATTTCATTAGTGAGCCTCTGATAAAGGTATTGTCGAGTCATACTGGGTTGGCAGCAATTCTGGCGTTGTACTATGGGACAAAACCGAAAGGTTGTCAATAAGCAGGATGTCGGGATCAAGTGGAAAGGAGATGTCACCTATGCCCATGATAAGTGTTATCTTTGGGTGAGTGGCCAAGCAGGAAGGAGGCAGAGGCGCAAGGCCGCATATGCGAGGTATGAGCGGTTTATAGGGACGGGCGCAAAGAGAATGAGAGATGCCTTTACCATTTACATGAAGCGGCCCGCTGTCAATATGCACGCTTGGGGAAGCATGGAAGGGTGGGTGTCTAGGAATATCTAGGAGCCTTGTGATCATACAATCAGAGCATGTCAAGGTCCATATCAATACAGAACATCGCGTTCATTCTTGAGTTCGCATGCTCATGACGCACGGACTCCACTACGCCTTTTCTTTAGGCTCATCGTCGGAGCCGGTTTCCTTGTCACGGTGTCAGAATAGACAAGGCCGAGCCAATCATGAATAGACGCCCTGATACAGGGGCTACATCTGGCTGCATTAGATGTAGTACATATACGTCACCTCCCCAACAGTTCGTTTTTCTGTCCGAGCCTGACAATCCCCTCCAGCCTACTAAGTTGATGTGTGCATGAATTCATCGCGAGGATATTCGGTCTATACTCACCTACCTCTGCCGGATGGCTTGAATCTCAGCGTTTCTGGCCAGACATTGTAATGTGATCCGTGAATTTGATGGGTCAGATCAGACCCGTTTAGAGGCAGTTCAACAAGATTCGAGAGGACGGACTTGACAGGACCTTGTCAACAGAAATTGCCGAGGCAAGGGGAATGTAAACAGCTGCGCCGTCGTATAGAATTCTACATACGGCTCTCAGAAGACATGAGCTCCATAAGAACCTACCGCCACCTGCCACTGTGGGTCAAACGTTCACGCTCTGGGCTCGCGCATTCGCTAAAAGTTCAGACATTCGTCTTGGATTAGCAGGCAGGTGCTGGAAAAGATGAAGGAGTCACTCACTTCTGATTACGCCTACCAGACCACTCTTGACGTCCATGAGAATGATTCACGACAGTTGGACCGTAGAGGATTTTACCGCTCAAGCGCAGTACAGCTGGCTGCGAAGTGGAGACTGCACAGGCAGCCATATCAGTCGTGGAAAGCTTACAGACCTGACTAACATCTCTGTCGAAAGATCGCTCAGATAAGCGATCGGGAACTTCCGCGGACTGGTACAATTTGTCCTTTCAGGCTTTGAGCTTTGTCTCTCGCCAGTCTTCAGCAAAAGACGATTCACTCATCTAAGCGTCGACTTCGTAGCTATCACCACGCTTTATTTTGATTTTTTTTTCTGTTCTGACTGGCTACGATGTAGCTGTACCATCCTCGAACGCAGTTCTCTTGTTTTTCCTCGGGACGCAGCCTATGACGCATACTCGTCATAAAGAATGTCAAAAATAGTCCGTGTAAGCCAAGAAAGGTTCATCGATGCGTCTTCTGCATCATTGTGAAAGATTGTTTCACTTTCCACATATCTGTATTGGGTCTGGTCAGTCTCAATGAACCTTATCAGGCTTCCCCTTCGCCCATTACCTGCTCTCATTCTCCATATAACGCTTATTTCTCTTGCACTTCAATCTCAACAGCCTGCACTCATGGATATGGAATATGCTGATAGTATTACTACAGAAAATGAAAATCACAATGCCTCCCAATTTTCACAGTCTCGCCCTGATTCATCTGGACTCGTTGAAGGTCCTTTTTCCCATTTCCACGATACCACCCCCCTAGGTAGCACGTCTGGTATGTGTTCATTTGTCCCATCCTTGTGCTAAAACAACTCAGCGATATAACCGTAGAAGCCAACTACAATGACAACGAAAAAAACCTTGCGGATACTGTTGCTGCGCATCCAGGTATCTTCATTCAAGGTTGTTTCATCCATTACGCTGACTTGCTATCAGACCCTCTTGCCCTTTCTATTGACATCCCCGGTGATCTACCTTCGCCACCACACCGTGCTGCTTTGAGCATTGGCGATCTTCCATATATCACAGGATCGGAGCCCCTTACAACTGATCTAGCACCAGTAAATGTGGATAGCGACACACAAAGCGTAATCGCCCTCGAGGATGTCGATGATGCCGATATCGACTCTGACGATCAATACTACTCAGTAGCAGCTTCACGTAATTCGACGCCGATAGATTCTCCTCAAACACGGAGCATATTCATCTCGGAGAATGCTAACGTATCCCTAGACGGTCACAGTGTACGTCAAAGACATTCTCTATTCCATAGCCTGCTACAATCTGCTACAATCTCATTCTTTAGACGATCGATCATCCTCGATTGCAAATCGAAGATTTAGTCGTTGATCTTCCACCCAGTCCCAATAATCATATGAAAACCTTGATCGACGACCAGGTGGGCACAATGCTTTATAAAAATTTGATCTTGAAACTTCACACACATATGCTTCTAGATACTTACATCGACGGTCAATATTGACGAGTCCGCCTCGACTCCACTCTTCACGACTTTGTCGTCGTCTACCGAGACCGCATTATCCAACGACCTCGATCTGTTGTGTCGCATCACCGGGATGTACAGACTGCTAGATCTCATCTTAGAACGAGGAAACGATGGTTTGGGTGAATCTGATCTTAGATGTCATGTCTACCCTCGTTGTTGACCGTTGCGCAGTTCACAAGGTTGTTATCGCCCAAGAATCTCTCGGAGAACTCATCAATGTATTACGACCTGGCGCTTACCATTCAATGACGAAGATCGACTTCAAGGCTCTAGATCATGTACGTCATTATAGACCTTATCCGTCGCACACCCCGCACCTCATGCCATAGTCGATAGACAAGCATAAAGCCGGTCGGCGTCTATGGGAGCAAGCCGGAGATCGTCAAGCTCTTACTCAGTGCCGGTGCCATCACCGAACAAATGTGAGCGGTAGTGGCTGATTTAATCAGTTCAAAACTCATAGTCCTCTGGAACTCGGACAGTGGCCATCTACTCCTCAAGGCTCAGATTGATCATTCAGAGCCCATGCACTCTCATTTACGTTCTGGATTGTACTTTGTCATCCTTCCCGAACCGTTTGGGGATAGCTTCAATGCATTCGTAGTCTACTGGCCCGAAGAAGCCACCTGGGAAGACGGGGCGTCTTCCTCAGTTTCGAAGAATCGATGCACCTTCATGAGGTAGTTTACATTGTGATAGCTGATGCCCATTCCTGACGCTCCGATCAGGTATCTCTTGAAACTCGTGGACCAGACGATAGCCGTCCTGACCACCGAGCAGTCCAAGGCGTTTAAATGGACAGTCCCAGATCAAGTAATAGACACCGAAGATAACAAGCTGGATGATGATTTCGGACGTATAATCTCTTTTGAAGTTGCCCAGACTCGTGATGAAGTGGAAGGCGTCAGCTCCATGGACGGTTTTCAGGTTTTTTTCCCTCTTCCTTCGTTCTTCATTTCTTTCATACTGAGCATCGCTCTATAGATGACATTGCCAATTCCATCGAGCAACATTGCAATTCCCGATCATCTCTCTGACCGTCAAGACTTGAGGGCTTCAACGTCTATAGTTGCTGGGGAAACCTCATGCGGCTTTATAACCTCGTCTTATATACCGGCTCACGAGAATCGAAAACCATATTACGAAGTTATGAACGAGATGCGCCTGAAAACGTTTCTCAAGTTCGTCGTTCTTCGTCCTGATTATGTAGGATGTTGGTACGACACATTGTAGCAACCATGCTTTCTCAATTTCATTTCCAGAGGTCATCGACGACGCAGCTCTTGCATTCCTTCTTAAGAGCGGATTACAGCAGAGGTGTCCAGAGATCTGTCCACAATTTGAACACAACTACCGGGAGATCAAACAAGCTCGGGAATATGCCATCGACCAAGAACGTTCCGAATTCTACCGCAGCTCGGAAGCTTTCAGGCAGGATTGTTTGTTTTCCGCTACTGCATTTTTGCAAAAGCAGGTATCACAGATGTACCCGTGAGCCCTCGCTAGATTTATTCCACCTCGTGATCAACATCCGACGCAGTTGCACGCAGGACCATCTCAGTAGCCTTTGCTGAAGCTCCCATTCGATCTTACGACGACTCGGTCACTAGTACGTCGCTTCCTCTGGCTATTCAGCGCATCCAAGCCAACTTATCGAGGATAGATTGGCTGGATAAGAACTCGCCCAGCAGTATGACGTATCTAACACTCTCGAAATGCAAGCCATTCAATGTACTGAAACATCGCGCAATTCTGGCAAAGAATTTTCTTGCGGAAGGGGTGCCGACGGATAATCAAGTACAGGTCGTACAAGAAATCCTTGACAAAGGGAATTATGCCTCTGTTTTGAAGAAGAGGAGGGGTTTTTTCACCGACGTCGCAAATGCTTTTCGTCAATTGACAGTTGCGGCGGCAGACCCGTCCCAAGCTGCAAAGATTGAAGCTGACAAAATGAGCGATCTCGCTTTCTTTGACTGGTTGTTCGATGCAAAACAGATAAACCCCGTGTTCACGCTGGTGGAAGACGCCATTTGTCCAATTGTATCGCCTTGGTTTGCAGAACAGATCAGCAAACGTGCCAATGATGCTGCTCGTATTCTGGAGAAATCCCGTCTCGACGACCTGCTTGCTTCTATAGCTGCACCCTTCGACCAAAAGGCCTCCACATTGCGGAGCAAATTTATCAAGGATGTTGAAGCCGTCTTAAATAAGGATACGGCGAGGTACCCATGTTGCCGCACTGATAATTACGCTGTGCTAATATCAGGTTGATCTCGCAGTGATCCTACGTACATTCGTTTGGGATCGATCGGAATGCAGAACTACGGTTCTTCGTATGGTACGCTCAATTTCAACAAGATCCACATTGCACTCTCAAGATCGAATACATACCTCCTAGGTGCTCTCAGTCTCTCTGGTTTGCGTATCAAACAAGCGGCACCCCAGATCCGATTCACAATATTCCCTCTCAATCTCACTCAGGCTGATGAGCAAGCATTGCACCTCAGTGTCAATCACCTTCCAACCCCTCGTGTACAAACCCAGCATGCACTGTCGTTCTTCCTTGCGCCGAATGAAACGCTAAGGTTTGCTGTCCCCGTGGTCTGAATTGTCCTTCTTATTCACTGCGTTTGTAGGTACATACATCGGCTTGGCGCTAGTCTATACCTCGTTGTGGTGGACGATAACGATCACTGTTCATTCTATGTTGAGGAGCTCGTGAACCTTGATCATGCGATTTCTCATGGCCAATACAAAAAGAGAATATTATATTCTAGATTCTCTAGAGATTTTGTGATGGCCTTCGATGAAGCGAAGCGTCTATTGGCTGTATGCGGAACGACATCGGTAAGTCCGCAAATTTCACCAAAGCCGCTCACGTACTCATCATTGTTGCATAGAATGACCCACCACGACTACAGGTCCAAGTGTATGTCCTCGACGAAGCGTTTGCTTCGATGACTGCTAGAGGCTCCGAGATACAGATTACACGTTGGTATGATGGTATGCCGGCTCTTCGCTCGCTTTTTTTTGTGACTGGTACAGAAGAGCTTTGCTTGATTGAACGCTCTGGTCGTGCGCGGATCCTGTCTTTGATCACACAGCAGTTTCGGTAAATTTTATCCATCTTCTGGAGACTTGGCTTACTGAATTGTCGATACTAGACCTGCAAGCTTGCAGCTGGATCACTCGTCATTGGATTTCTATTCGACTCCTGATGGGTCTTGCCTGCTTGCGATCACACCCTGCGATGATGGGGGGCACCAACTGGCTGCCTATCATTGGTCTTCTTTTGGTGCGAATAAGGAAGGCATCCGCATCGCTATTCCGCCTTTGTCTTCAGATGTGACGTTTGGTGTGACGAGTCTGGGTACTCGTCTCGCCGTCCACTTCCTTGCTTTATCACCTTCTGTGAACAGTGTCCAGTCAGTGATTCTGCAGATACGAAGGAAATCGAGCGAGTTCCAGTTCAAGGAACTCGGGATGCGCGTCCCAGAAAGGGATCAGGTGAATACCACCAACAACTGTTTGATCGATTGCCACCTCGACGTCTGGACACGATTTCCTGTTCAAGCTGCTATCCGGAGAGAAAACATCAGCCATCTTGGGCGCAGTAGACAATCTATCACCTTCTTGACCGACAACCCTGAGGCTCCTTTTGCTGCATATTTCCATGGTTTGATAAGATCCTTCCAGGATCACGTCCACAAACCCACCGGCGGAGTGCTCTCGGAGATCAAAGTATGTGCGCTTCGTCACGCAGATTTTTCTTTCCAAGATCTGGCAGTCTCCTTGTTCTCTGCTGGTGAATGGGTCGTAGAGCTGCTGTGCCTAATCCCACTCCATCTCGCTGTCACACGCCAAAATAGATTCATTCCATTGAAAGATGGCGTCTGGACCCCTGAATATGAACGTGAACTACTTGGTGCGGACGTTGGACAGATTGTCGACGCACTGAGTCTGGGATGGTATGAATCTTTATTCCAGTCGTACATGGTCTCAAAGGTGAGCCTGTTGCCATGTCACAACGGTCAGACGTCAGATTTACATTCACTTAAAAATCATAGCCAGTTCGAGTCGTCAGCTCTATGGGTTAGTGTCTTTATACATTCCTTTGACACTTCTCATCGGCGTCTACTTTTTCAGGCGAGCAATCTGTTGGTAAAAGCTACTCCTTGAACCACTTCGTAGACACTTCGTTTGCTGGGTCAGCAATGAGAACAGTGAGTGTCCAATCATCTCGCTTGGGTCAGGTCACACTCAGAAAAAAAAGACTGAAGGTGTATGGATGTCGGTAACTCCGACCCATGATGCTCTTGTTGTAGCGCTCGATTTTGAAGGTTGGCTTTATTCCTGAGCGATCTGCACCGGGAAATGTTGAAATCATAGATTCTATAGGTGTACATTCCATTGAGAGAAGCCCTCAAGAAGATGCATTACTTGTGCGTATCATCTTATTCACAGCATAATGATTTGGGAGCACATCAAACAGGTTCTATTCAACACTGCGATCTCGAACCTGGTAAATACATTTCCCTCGATGATGGAATTTGGCGGCCACTCAGTTCAGATTAGGTACTGTTTCGCAACAACTTTGCTCTGTCTCGAAATATTTCTGGCCTCTTCACGGTGAGTTTGTCGTTGCTTTGATTACCTCGTTTTTTCATTTGATCTTTAGAGCTTCCAATCATCGTCATCTATTCTTGATCCTGCATCTAATCCAGGGATTTTCAATGGGACTCTCTGTATTATTATTCGCGACGTCGTTGACACTGACGCACGAGATATCATCAATGAGTTTGGTACTATCTATTTAACGTCCTTGGGCCCTCGCTTACGGTGCTACATAACACCAGGTTTAGTCTGAAATTTCGGAAAATCGTTGAAGATGAAAAGGAGGACAACTTCATTTCACGTTTGCACCGTGGTCGCATAAGCATCATCCCGTGGTCAGTTTACATCTCCAGACGATTTTATGCGTTAATGATATTGTATGCACAGGCCAGTGATCAATACTCACCGCTTCTTCAACTTGTTCGGGTCTCTGAAGAAGCGATTCGAGCGGCAAGGTGTCACCTACACTAGCGCTGGTGTTTTTTTACATACCCTCAAGACATTGATGGCAAAGCTCAAAGTTGAGATAATTTAGATAGTATTCTTTTCTTTGTGATACACTAATGTCGTTTCCAGGCTAACGATTGGGGTGCTTTGGATCGTCAGTGCTGTTTTATCTCAGAGGTGGATGACTGTAGCTAATTTAAACGGGCTGCAGAAACCCTTGCATCGCATCGGGCGCGTGTTTTAACATCATCACTTCGAGGAGCCCTCTCCCGTGGATTGATGGAACCTGACTGCGAACCATTGAAGGTGGGGATCTCCTGCTCTTTTATGGGACTACGACTAAGAAACTAGTCCTTAAGGACATCGATTCGGATACTGAGATCCCCCACCATGACTCTGGCGTAATCTTTTTCGTCCCTGATCCTGATACAGATCAAGAGTGCAATTCACGATATCGGGAGGAGGCTCTGCGTGCACTTATCTCTTATTGCGAACAGCACCTCCCGCATCGGTTCTCCGTTGCGGATGCGAATTGGATAGAGGCGCTCACACATCACCTATCAGGGCTGATTGAGACTCGCATTACCCTTGTCCGCGACTGGCTTAGTGCTAATACCTCACGGTTCAAGGACTTTGACGACGTCCAGCGTCTTCGTCGCACGGCAGATATCGCATATCTAGACGTGCTCGCTTCGGTCCAGGTCTGCAGTATGCAGTGTCTTAACTGCAGCCTTGCATGTATACGACCAAAAAATCACCCATTGGATCACATGTGCGGTACATCACACAGATGCTGGAGGCAATGCGAGATTTCCGAGCAACATTCTTCACCAAAAGATTGCGGTTTGCCGTGAGCTGATATAAATATCTGAATCCAGTGGATGTGACTCTCTGATCCCTCTGAATTTGCAGCGCTGGACACACAGGTCGACACATGTGAGTGAAAGAGTCACCTTGCTATGCTGCAGCTACCGACTTATGTGATTCACAGGTGTGATATCAGTGCCCATTCATGCGGAAAGTCTTGTTCGCTCGAAGGAAAACGTGGATGTATGCATAGTTGCAGCTTAGTAAGTCAGGCATATCAACAAACAAATATATATTGGACTCATTGATGAATTTACCACTAGCCGGTAGATCATTCGGAGTCTCTGCATATGTGTTCTGCTCGCACACACTTGTGTGGTCAGGTAATACGAACACCTTGTTAAAATTTTGGGAACTAACTATTGTCGTGTCTATCTAGCCATGCTCTCTGCAGAAGGCTCCTACTGCGCTTGGTGCACCTTATATGTGCAGCGGTCAGTGCACGCTTCAATGGGACGAACCACACGAGTTGCATTCTTGCGAAAAAGTGCAATCGTGTCCTATCAGCTGCAAATTGTAGGCTGCTTATCCTCTTCTTTTGTATTGCTCAAAATGGTCTAAGAATCCTTTCCAACTAGATGTGCTCGCCTTTGTAGTACTCCTGATCATTTCCATGGATTGGAATCCGATGCAGTCCATCTCTGCGGGTACCTTGTTCTCTATTGATTGACCCATTACCAGCTTGCTCACACAAAATCAGGCAAAGCCATGCGTGTGCTCATCTATGCGAGCTTCCAGGAATATGTTACATTGAAACTCAACCGTCCGAAATCATGGAGGAATTCGAAGGAACGCACGAGAGTTTTCAATTTACCAAGGCATGAATCGACTTGAGAACTTATTGAGTATTGCCTCCGCTGATCCATGCCACAGTACACACAAGTCTCGCGCCGCCTTGCTTGTGCGATGCCCATCTCTCCTGGATCAACTTCGCATACAGGCACACACAGGCATGGTGAAGTAGACAACCTTTTTCATTTTTGTGAGGAACGATGTGGTCAATGCGAGTATTTCTGCACGCTTCCTATTGGTGTGTATGATACTCAATCCTCGTAACATATGACTGAAGTCAAAGCGCAGGCCATTCGCAAAACCTTCACGACACCCGTCATGGATCAATGACCGCTGCAAGGTGGCTTGTGGACTCTCCCGACAATGTGGTGGAATTGGATGGTCATAGGTTCGGGTCCGGAGATAATGGTGCTCCCATGCTCTGTAATCTGGTTTGCAGATATCTCGTTCACTTCAGGGTATCATGAAGTACTGAATTCGAGACAGATCTGTACATCGCAGGAACATCATGTGCACGTCGACTTCTGGTGAGTATTCAACGTTTGTCCCGCACTACATCTGACCCGTTTCCACAGCCGTAGCGCAGCAGGACAGATCTGTGAAGGTGCTGAATTGCAACATATTAAAACTGCTCGCATGCAGCCATCACCAGATCGCAGCAAAGATTGGATATCTCATCGCCTGCATTGGGCACGCCTCGGTAGGATCACTTCACAATGTAATCTGGTGAAATTTTGACTTGCTTTTGGCGATAGGTTTCAAGGGTATCTAATTTTATATTCCAATGGCACGAGCTGTTCCTTAGATTCAAACGTTATAGATCCTTATTCACGGGAAGAACAAGCTGAGTTTGCGAAATGGTCAGTTCCACGAGCAGCTCTTCCAAAATTGTTGCTAACAGGTACAACCATACAGCGATTCAATGTGCGGAGGTGCGTCGATCGTCAAACTTATCTCAAACAGGTGATAAATCTGTCTGTGTAGGACCAGAGCACGCAGCTACAGCCTCGCATTCTTTCTGCACTCAAAACATCTTTCATGCACCTCTACCCCTGGGAACGGTCCCAGACAATGCACTCGGATATGTCTCACACGATGGACACTCCTTCGATTGCAAGGATCCAGCGTTGTTACGCCAGTCGTTCCATGTGTATGTCTTTCGAATGATCTCGGAAGACATGCATTAATCGACCCCTTTTTCGTGTCTCAGTATCTTTGTGATCGATAGGTAACTTTCATTTGTTCTGAGGGAGAACATGCTTAGATATCGAATCATGCTTGGAGTTCAGGATCGATGACTTGCAGCGATCGCCGGCCTTTGCTTGACACTCCATCTTCGACGTTGATCCGACAAAGGGCCGACAACCGATATGGCGCTGCTCTCTCCTCTCTGTATAGTTTCTTGGCTGCGCGCCGAAGCCTCATTCGATCGGCTACTGGAGCTCGGAACGATGCATACTCTGTGGTTACTTTCAGTAGTTCGGCGCGAGTAAGTATTTACAGAGCATCGTTGATCCCAGGCACTGATGGTGTTAACCAGACTCGGGTCACGAATGATTTCTCCAGCACGCCAGACCAACTTCTCAGCCTTCTACTCACACAAGAAGAGGCTGGAGGGACAAACTTCGATGCCGCATTGAAGGAGGCGCAACAGACAATGCAGTCCTCCTTCAGTTCTGAACGGTTTGTGATATTGCCAATTCAGAAGACACTGTCACCGATCATATGTATAGAGCCCCTGTCTTGATTTTTTTGAGCGATGGCGAATGTTCAGTGAGAGACGAGACGGTATACGATATTTGTCGCAAGGCGGTTACATTAGGGTAAGCTTGTATCAGGACGATGCATATTACTGCATATCCTCAGATTTGAAGTGCTCACGTGTATCATCTCAAGAAAACCTCTCTCTTTCCATGCTGTATCTTTCGGGCAGGATTACAGCTCCTCTCAATTGCGTCGTATGGCTCAGCTAGCTGAGGAAGTTTATTCAACTGCCCCTCAAGACCAACTGGCTTCCACAGCGACAATTTCTTGCTCCTACACAAATGCTATCGACACAGTGCGTCAAATACTATATGGATGCTTCATATACTCATTTGGTACACAGATACAACTAACTGAAACATTCTTGGGAATTGCTGATTCACTCACGAAGACCCGGGCGTCGCTCATACGTGGCTGAAACGTAATGTTTCCTCAGCATGTTACTATACTTCCGTATCATGGACCTTCAATGCAATTTTTCCTCGGGGTGTCTTCTTATCGTCAGCTTGAAGGACAATCAATTGAATAACCGCCTAGGTAAAACCTTGATTGCAACGACTCGCTCAACATCGGTGTTGTCCTCAGACAGAATCGCCATCAGACAACAACAGCCTATCCCCGCGGGCTTCTTCCTAGCCTTATCGTTCGCACGGCCCAGAAATCGACTTGACGATTAAAAAAAAACATATCCCCTCATAGAACTTTCCCGTTTGTCCATCGAGATCAGTCATGTTGTTCGCCCAGGGTTCTTCAATTGAAGAGATCTATCGAGATATCGTTCCCGTAATTGCGCTCCATCCTGCTCCATATTCATTAGAATACCATATGCAAACGCCTACGTGATCTTGTGGGACAATGAAGGCGTGAAATATCGCATTCAACGTGATTTATCTGATGCTGATATCGTGGGTAATCTCGTCTATCCGCAAAGAATAAATATCGGTATTATAACAGTGATTTTAGGCGCTGCGGTCAGGCTTGCTTTCGTATACCGTATGTATGAATCATGTCGCAGAGCGTCATAGTTAGGCCCTGCTGTCGTCAGGCGCGTTTCCCTTCTTTTTACCTTTGGATGCATCCTTTGACATATACCAACCAGGATGTCTTCGGCTAATCAGGGAGATGGAGTGCAGGAGATATGCAGCTCTGAGGACTCGCGCGCACGGCCTGTCATGAGGGAGAATGTTATTCGTGGGGAGAGTGACCTCAATCAGTATACAATATGGTACAGCGGGTGTTGATGGACGGTCAAAAACTTTCGAGTGCGCAAATTTGCAAGTAGGTGGGTTCAAAATATTTAACTGGCTCTCACACGGTGTGCTATATATATGCCTTATACTTATGACATACCTCACATACCTGAATCCTGATATCGTCCTCACTCAACAGGAGCTGGCGAGTCCTCCATGAATACATCCGCAGCTTGCTGCTGCCACATCCCGTGATACAAGCCTCCCTCCTTGATCAGCTCCTCATGCGTTCCCTGCTCGACTACTTCTCCTTCCTTCAAGACGATGATGAGGTCTGAACACGCGGGGGAGAATATACTGTAAAGACCCATGCAGCTCTTGAGAAGGAGTGCAAGATAAACAGACCTGCTTCGACGACGGTGCGCAGACGATGCGCGATGAAGATACTGGTCCGCGCTCGATCCAGCAGCGTCGAATTGATGTTCTTCATGAGCTCCGACTCAGTGTGTGCATCCAAAGCAGAAGTCTACACGCAAATGAGTCGAACCCGCAAATAGAATGGCTGACGTCTTACCGCTTCGTCAAAGAACAGTATTGGCGGGTCCTTCAATAGCACCCTGGCCACCGCAAGCCGCTGCTTCTCTCCGCCGGAGATCATCAGTCCGCGCTCACCTACCGTGGTCTTGTATCCATCAGGAAGCTTCATGACCGTCTCGTGGACATGTGCCTTTCGCGCGGCCTCCACAACTTCCTCATCGCTCGCATCCAGCCGCCCATACCTGACATTGTGCATAATATCTGCGTGGAACAGAGGGGTGTCCTGCGGGACAACGCCTACCCGCCTTCTTAAAGACTCCATTTGCACTTTCGATATGTCTTGGCCATCAATCAGGATGCGCCCTGAAGAAGGCGTATAGAAGCGGTAGAGCAAGCGGAAAACAGTCGATTTGCCACACCCAGAGGGGCCGACGATGGCGACTTTCTTACCAGCAGGGATGGTGAAGGACAAAGAGCGGAAAATTGGGCGAGCAGGGTTATAGGCGAATGCAACATTTTCAAAAGTGATCGAACCCCCGGTGAGGTCCAGAGGTTTTGCATCAGGAGCATCCTATCAAGCGGTTAACATAAATCCAATGCGTTCACATGTGAAAGGGAGCAACCTTCGGCGGGGTGTTCTGTGCTTGGATGTTGAAGAGAACTTCCATGTCGAGGAGGCTTTGTCTGATTTCGCGATAGATAGTTCCGAGGAAGTTTAGAGGCAGGGATAATTGAAACACAAGCTGGTTGGCCATGACGAGGTCGCCGACGGTCATTGTACCTGAGTCGACATGAATCACAATATTAGAAGAATATGTTCGACCGTGTTACCATTGACTACTCCTTGTGCGGCCAGGAACATCATGCCAGTCAGAGCAGTCGAGAAGATGACATTCTGCCCAGAATTGAGATATGCGAGTGACGTGGCAATTTTGACAGACGCTTTCTCATAAGATGCGAGGTGCTTGTCGTACTGCATGATCTCGTACTTCTCGTTGTTGAAATGCTGAACAGAGAAAGTCAGGCGAGCAACAAGCTGACAAGACGGCGCATAAACCCTACCTTGACGGCTTCGTAGTTGATCAGCGAGTCAACGGCAATTGTCGCGGCCTTGTTGTCGGCTGCGTTCGCATCTCTCCGGAAGCGAGTCCTGAGCAGACGTCATTACGACTATTTTCGATGCATGAAGGAGAAAGGCACACCTCCACGCGGTCGTGCGCACAGTGAACCAGGTATACGCTGCCATTGTAGCTAGGGTGATGGCCGCGTAGTCCCATCCAAACTTATAGGTCTACGTCTATCGTCGTCAATGCTATTTAAGCACAATACAAAGCGAGACTTGCCAGAATACCACACACTAGAGATATTTCGAGAGCGGTTGGGACGACACGGAACAGGATCGCCTGTAGAATGAACGTAATGCCTCTGCGAAGGATGTCAGTGAAAATCAATGACAATAGGGGCAGAAAGATGCACAAACTTCGTACCCCGATCGATTGCGCGAGTCAGACCGCCCGTTTGCCTCGAGAGGTGAAACTTGAGATCGAGGTTGAGGAGATGCTCGAACGTATCGCGAGCCACTTTACGAATAGCACGCTGACCGACGTTAGCGAAGACAGCATTCAGAAGTTCTCCAAGGAGCGTTGCGCTGATACGTGCAGCGCCATCTGCAAGGGCACGGTGTTCAGCACGGTTGGAGGATGAGAACGTGTAGGATATTCAAAGACGGAGAGAGCTGACATACAACCGAGGATGATAGAGCCGCACACGACCCAGACAGTGGAATCAGAGGTGACAGGGATGTTGAGAGTATCGATAATTTGTTTGAAAAAGAACGGTACTTGGACGTTGAGAATCTAAGTTACGATGAACGGTCGTGTTCATATCAGAAATTGAAAGCATGTGCTGCAGGGCTCAGTGCCCTTTCAGAGTTCCAGGTGCAGGACTTGCAGACAAAAAATCCCATCGTGATCAAGAAGTAAAGGTTGTACCCACCTTTCCGCTCACGAGAAAACCCACACCAAGGAGGACGCGCCCCCGCGTTCCCCAGTCGTTCTTGGGCCAGAGATTGACTGCAAGCCGACGAATAATGGACCAATCCCGCCTCCTCTGCTCTGAATTCGAGACATCGGTATTGTCGGCGGCCAGACTCTGCGCGGTTTTGGACGAGGCCTGGCTCGGAGGCTGGTTCTGGATCGGCTTGGATTCTTTCGGCTGCGGCTTCTGCGGTGCGAGGTGCTGGAATGAGCGGAGGAATGCGGCGCGCATACATGGATGTGAGATTGGAGGATGCCGGTGGGGACGTATGGACCGCAGGGCGAGCCTGAACGCGGTGGACATGGCTGAGGATGACGACGAGCAACCTGCAGGCAGGCAAGGACTCAAGATGCGCGTTATCTTCATCTTATCTGATATCTGCACGCTTGTGATATCCCCTCACTTGATTCTTCAATTGCGCGACAAATGGAGTCATCAGGTGCTACTCTAAAAACTCTCATAAACCGCCGCACTATCCACGCTGTACGATCTCCCATCCGTGATACCGCCTCCACAGCACGTCTTCTACGAACCTGCTGAACGTGCTTCCATCCGTGCCAGCGACGCCCCACGCACGGCTGACGACCATCGCGTCCAAAAATGGCTCAAGAAAAGGCATCAGCGACCGCTTGTCCCCGGGATTGACGAGAGCGTTGAGCTCGGGTTGTACGTTCAGAGAGCCGACTCCCATCTCAAGCAGCTCATCGACGGGATTGGAGTCACTCCTTCCCCGGAGAAAATCAGAGAGGAAGAAAGTGCACGGGAACGAGTCGAAGAATAATTGCAGCGCAGGGTCAAGATCCGGTTCTGGGGAGTCAGTCGAGATAAACAAGGGGACGTTGAGCTTCATGAGCTCTGGAGAAGTGTGCAGTGGACGTCTGCAAGGTAGCCTACTAGAGCCGACAAGTGGTGGGAGGGGCGCATGAGGCGTGCGAACGGCAGGCCAGTCTGGGAGAAGCACAGACGGACATGGCAAGGTCGCAGACGAGGCGTCAAGATCCAGCTCCATCGCCCTGGCAGCCCCGAGCGAGAAGCCCAGAACGCGTTGGAGCAGCTTGTACCACACCACCCGCGCGTGGTAAGTCCCGTGGTGCTGGAAATGGCCGCTGCCGATGCGGATGTGCGCGCCGAGGTAAGTTGCACCCAGAAGACCAGTTACTTCGTGGGCGGCGCGCAGGAGAAGCGGGTTGGAAAAGACCATCCGTTCTCTGATGGACTTTCGTAGCTTCTTGTTGGCGGGCACCTTCAGATGGAGCCTGGTAGATCCAAAGAGCGTACCGAGTTGTATTAGCTTTTCAGGAGATCTAGACAGTGTGTTGATCTGGAGAGATGAGTTATATCTGGAGAGAGCGGGCCCGGTGGAGGGAGGGAGGTAATCAATGAATCGATAGTCGTAAGTGTTGTTGTCTTTGAGGACAAAGATCTCCGTGTCATCGGGCGAGCGTTCGAGGAGCCAAGGATAATTGAATCCATCGATATAATGCAGTGGCTGCTCAACCTCTATAGAACTCATGTCTACGATCGAGTTCCACGCGACGTGAGTGTATCCAGGAGAGTCTAGATCAGAGCATTCAGGGCGAACCGTGAGGTACCAAGGAGTGCCCAAGCATTGTACCGAGCCAGCCTTGTCGTCCGAGAATCTCAGCTGTTCGAGTAATTCGTCGAATGGAGAGTAGGGAATGGGCTCGACTCCCAGACGGACAGGCGGGACGATCAGCGTCCGGTTCAACATGCGCGCGAGCACGAGGCCATTCTCGAAAGCGATGCGTTGGTTGTGGAAGCCGCTGTGCGGAAGATATGCAAGGTATTTTTTGTCAGTATCAAGACCGTAAAGCCCAAGCGAGGATCGGTTTGAAGCCAAAGAGTCTTCGGGCGCTAGTATTGGAAGGAGATGGACCCGTTCGACCGATTCTAGCTGACCTTCAGGGAGAGCTATGGCCAAGTAAAATGCCGTGAAGAAGCACGATATGGATGCAACAACCAGCAGTGCAGCGAGCGCAGATGTCGACGCTAGCTGCGTCGACTTGCGATCAACACGAGTACAGCGGGCAAGTTGTTGCATCAGATAACAATTCGAGCAACATGTGGTAAGTTGCTAGCAGTCAGACTCAGGCCTGTCAAGAGCGCCACAATGTTGCTCCGCTGACACGAACCGGGTCATTTCGCGTCATATGGAAGATGCCATCATCGACCACAGTGATCTCATGGACAAGGAGATACTGTCCTAGACCAATCATTGATATCTTATATAGCGTCAGGATGAAACGAGGCAAATGGAGGCGTGATAAACGTAAACGCAGACGAGATATGTATACCGACGATGAGCTTGAGCAAACCATGTAAGGCAAGGTTACTGCTATGGGAGATACAGGGCAGGCGAACAGTCGAAAAGAGCCGCAGAGAAAAACTACTATCACGGACGACTACTAGCGGGGTATGCAGAGGGCGGAGGAATGCGTGGGTGTTGGATGCATGGTTAAACCAAGAGAAGATGTTGCCAGCGTCACGCGCGAGAATAGTGCGGGGAGACGATTAGAGCACGACGCAGTGCGAGTGCTTCTTGCGTCCCTGGGACCGGCTCAAGAGGGCCGCCCTTGTCGCATACTGGAAAACTTCGCGTACACCCTCTCCAGACTTGGCCGAACATTCCAGATAGTGCTTGGCGCCAATCTTTTGCGCGACAGCCATGCCCTAGAATAAGACGTCAGCGCTGTGCTGAGCTGGGTACACAAGGCGGACGAACCTCCTCGGGGGTTACCGGTCGTTGACTCGTCTTCCTCAACTCCTCAATCACACGCGGCTCACGCCTGAGATCCTTCTTGCAGCCGACGAGAATGATAGGGAGACCAGCACAGAAGTGCATCACTTCGGAAATCCACTGTAGGACGTAATGAGAATGATGTCATAGGCATTAGTCAGCTGACCCCAAAGCGATGCGAACATCCAAACATGATGGATGAAAGCAAGGAAGGGTACTGGAAAGAAAACCCGTACCTTCTCTTGAACGTTATCAAGCGAGTCTGGGGAGTCAACGGCGAAGCAGATGAGGATGACGTGGGAGTCTGGGTAACTCAAGGGCCGAAGACGATCGTAATCTTCCTGTCCGGCAGTATCCCATAACGCGAGCTCGACATGCTTGCCATCAACCTCGACATCGGCGACGTAGTTCTCAAACACAGTCGGGACATAAACCTATCGCGTTATGGGATGATTAAAGCGCATCAGATATATTTGGGAAAGCAAGATAGCATAGCATGAGCGATAGATATTTGAGGGGAGGAAGTGGGTGGCACGCACCTCGGGGAAAGTCCCCTTGGAGAAGACGATTAACAGACAAGTCTGTATCACAGGAAAATATCAGTGGACTGAATAGTCGAGACAAATGGAAACTGTGCTGACCTTGCCGCAGGCACCATCTCCGACAATGACAAGCTTTCTGCGGATTTCAGACATGAAGATATTAAGAGCGTGTAGGAGATGGTAAGGAGAGAAAGAGAGAGGGCAGGCGACACTGTTGGTGGTGACGGCGAGTGAAGGGTGCTGTTGACCGTGATACGAAGCGGGCTCTTAAGCGGGCCTTAAATTGGTCCCCTTCCCAATTGGCACAGCTTGGATCATTAGGTCATCACAACGAGGCCTGTGCGTGGGAACCCTCAGCCTATTATGGGCATTTTCCCCGGTGCATCCCGTTTCACACATAATTGAATGCCTTTTCCCCGCTTACGCTCTTGCAGATTTGTTTGTGTCAACGCCTACCAGAACGCAAGAAGCCAAACGTTCCAGGTAATGCACCCTTACTACGCAACTGATCAAAGATAATTTTACGTTCGCGCCACAGTGAGACAAGACAAAGACTGGAACATTCAAGTGGTTTAGTGGGGGGTGCAGCCTGCTGAGAGAATGTCACGGACCTTGCGGCCTACTCTCTAACTGAAAAAGTGCTGCCCACTGTCAATAGGACAGCGAATGCGATCAGAAAATCTAGACCGATGGGAGTCAGAACGTGAGCTTGCTGCTGGATCTTGTCTCGTCAGTACTATGCGTCGAGCGAGTCAGCTCGAAAGTCAGGGGGTACAGAAGACCAAGCGCTTCCTGATTCGTGGCAGCCCGAGGGGCAAACATGCCGCAAAGGTTTGGCACAGAAGACATACGCCTAGACTATCGCCTCGAGGCAACCGTCCTGGCGGTGTCCACGAATCGATGGATGTGTGTTTGCACTCCAGAGAGGTTTCGGTCGGCCATCATGGTGGAGCAAGGGCCGGAACCAGTCTCGACTTTGGCGTCACGAGCCGCGGTATTTGTGGAGTGGCGAGGCACGTCATGCCGCTGTCTTTCACCAACCCATAAAACAAGGCCTAGCTGGGCCTTACCTTATAAACCCGAGCCCAACCCCTTCGTCGTATGTCAACCTCTCTCCTTCCTGTCTTTTGCCGTCGTCGTCTTCGTCGTCATCAAACCCAACAATGATGATCAGTTTCGCCGGACTCCCCCCAGAAGTCACACAGGCCATGTGCACCCCGATGCACCTCATTCTCCCCGCCGCACCTTCTCAGCACCCATCATATCCCTCACACCATTCACCTCCGTCACTGACAGGCCAAGGGGCACTATATCTTGGCTCCTTCGCCGCTGTTCTTGAACCGACTCTCCTAAAGGAGCACAATATCCGTCACATAGTCCAAGTCCTCGACGGCTTCTGGACTCCCTCGAGTGGTGCAGACGGCGTGTCCACTTATCGGATCGATATCCAGGACATAGAAAGCGCCGATCTCAAGCCGCACCTCGAGGATGCCGTCGAGTCGATCGACTCGGCCCTGTCCAAAGGCCAGAACGTCCTTGTACACTGTCATCAGGTGCGCGCGCTCGCCGATGCCCCAACGCATGTATCTGATCCTTCCTTCCTTCACACACGACCAGGGTGTATCTCGCTCCGCATCGGTCGTCATCGCCTACCTCATCCGCAAACGTGGCATGTCATACCAGGCCGCTGCCGCATTTGTGAGGCAGCGGCGAGCGTGCATCAAGCCCAACCCAGGCTTCGTTCGCTGTCTCGAGGAGTGGGAGCGCCAATGGCGACCGCTCGCCCCCGTGCGCACGCAGAGCTCGAAGTAAGCAAGATATCCTCATGCTTCCGACAGACCGAACGCTTAGACTATTCGTTGATACCCCCGCGAAGTTTCCGCAATGCTCAAGTCCGCTGATGTTCTACACCAGCCTTAATTTATTCAGGGTCTGAAGGTGCGATACGAGCGATCGCGCCCCCGTGTTTCATCAGCTCGAGGTCTTTTCTGAAGTTGTCACAGATACCGTTAAATTATCTTTTCGCCTCTTCATTGTCAATACAATAGTCGATTTCTCCGAAGAGTTGTTTTCTTGGGCCTGAGGTATCACCTATTTATATACGATGTGTTGAGCGTAGCATTCCCTCGCACTAGTCCCTCGTATTGACGCCGACACGCACTGCTTCGATTAAGTTCGAGGGCGACATCTTCTGATGGCCCGTGGATCTGCAAACAGGCAAATAAATGTGCTTCGCGCGGGCTTTGCTTCTGGTTCAAATTATGAAAATAAAGGCAAATGCTCGTCGCGCGGCGCATACATGTACGAATACCCCTTAGATACACATATGTAGTGTTCCCCTCTATCTCCACCATTCATCTACGCGGTTACGTTTGACCACAATGTTTGGGCCATGTCTGACAGCGCGGCTGCTCACCGTGCGGAGATAGTATCATGGAAAAGAAGCGGAATGGGTAGTTTGCCTCGAGGAAATAGGATCGCCGGCTCCTTTCTAACGAGTTGCCTGATATATCTGCATCGTTTCAGAATTGGCCAGCAAGGGAGACCAACCTGTCACTGGCATCGACTTGCGCATCGCACGAGGCAAACGGAGGCTGCGCGAGTGGTGAATTGCACACCATGTGCCATCACGATGAGCAGGGGAAACCATTATATCGCACACCGCCCGCCCACTGAGAAAACAAAATAATATACCGCGCTAGATGTTTGCCTCCCAGCTGACCCCGCAGCCACACCCGGAGCCCTTCGCCTGCGGGTTGTCCAATATGCGAAACGAGCTGCCGATGAGCTCCGTCGCGTAGTCGATCGTCGCGCCTTTCAGGAGTGGCAGCGACACGGCGTCCACATACACGTTCGACGGGGCGATGTCCCGCCGCGAGAAGTGGCTGCGGCGCGCGAACGGGGCGTGAGGGGTCATGTGGGGAGAGGAGATAAGGGTGTGAGCGTACTAGTCGTCCGGCTCTCGGTGTTTGGTGAGCGCCATCTTGTACTGGTATCCGTGACACCCGCCCGACTCGACGGATATGCGCAGCCCCGCGTCAGGGTTCGCCTCGCGTACATGGATATTCAACAGTTGCTGTTCCGTCGCACGACTATCAGCGGCGGACAATGCATGAGAAATGTGCGACGAACCTGGGCGGCGCGGTCCGTGATGTTCACTACGGCCTCCAGAGGGGGTATCAGTTCTGCGTCTATTTCAGCCTCTTCGAGGTCCTGTGGTGATGGGTGTGACAAGAGAACCGCCGGCTCGATTTGGGGTCGGGCGGAAAGTTCGATTGGACGCGGTGGAGTCGAAGTAAACGCTCGTCGGGGTATCGCAATCAGTGCAGGAGTAAAATGGCGGTGGGCATGCGGAAGCAAAGGTCGTGGTCGTGTGCGGACAGCTTGAAGGATGCGAGACGACGAGCGAGCGAGCGAGGAAGACATTATGGCTGGGAGGAAGAGTGGCCGGCCGTGCTGACTGACGCGAGGAACACTAGAATGGGGTTAGGGCCACGGTATCTGGTCCCGTGACCTATAGGGTTGCACCTCCGAGATTTTTGCTTCGCGCATTGGCAAGATCACATCGTTCGCGCATCTTCATAAAATGGCCACCGAATCACCAGAACGACGCATTGTCGTTCTCATCTCGGGCTCAGGTACCCCCGCATCCCATCATTGTTTTTCTCATCCCTGACAGACCCTCGCCTTGCCCCGCCCGCCCGCAGGCACCAACCTCCAAGCGCTCATTGACGCCCAAAATACGCCCGCCCTCCCAAACACCCGCATCGTCCTCGTCCTCTCCAACCGCAAAGCCGCCGGAGGCCTTGCGCGCGCGGCATCCGCCTCCCCACCTATCCCTACCGCCCATCTCGCGCTCCAGCCCTACCTCAAAGCTCACCCGGACCACTCCCGCGCGGACTACGACGCGGAGGTCGCACGCATCGTGCTGCGTGCGCAGCCGGACGCGGTCGTGCTCGCGGGGTGGATGCACATCATGGGCGACGGGTTCCTCGACGCGCTGAGCGGCGCGCGGGCGCTCGACGGCGCGCCGCGCGTGGACCCCGCGCGCGCGATCGCGGTGATCAACCTGCACCCGGCGCTGCCCGGGGCGTTCGACGGCGCGCACGCGATCGAGCGCGCGTACGAGGCGTTCCGGAGGGGCGAGGTCGCGGCGTCGGGGGCTATGGTGCATCGGGTGGTGCGCGCGGTCGATCGGGGCGCGCCGGTGGTCGTGCGCGAGGTGCCGTTTGAGGAGGGGGAGACGATGGAGGCGTTCGAGGCGCGGCTGCATCGCGTCGAGTGGGAGATCATCGTCGAGGGCACGCGGAAGGTTCTGGACGAGGTGAAGCCGGTGACTTGATTTTAGCAGGGAAAAAGAGCCAAGTGTATTTTATGGGGCCGTGTATGTCATTTGTAAGATTTGTTATGCTTTTTTGGAGTGAGTTCTGATAGGGGGCGCAGCGTGGTCTGCGTGTGGAAATTCATTCTCATCCCCCTGAATGCTCTTGACTGAGAACTGCGTCGCCTGCAAGTCGCTTATGTAGCGCGCTCTCATATACGCATTACATAGTTCAGACATGAACGTGAACACCGATCGCGGCCGTAATCAGACAGAGCACGACTTTTATGCATTCACGATGCTCCAGTGCATACCTGACGACGGATAGGAGACAAATCACGATCGAAGTCTGACGGGCTGGCCGAGGGTGAAGTCGTTGTATTCATCGACCTTGAATGTCCTTCGTTTCGCGAGCCAGGTGGCGAGTGATGATCTCGACGTCTTCCGGGGCGGGATAGGGAACACAGAGGCAGACTGGCGCGGTGGCAAGTACGGCCTCATGTTTTCGACGGCATTCTGGCAGATTCTGGCTCAAGTTTGAAGGCATGGAGCGGTTGAAATGGCTGTCGAAAGCTCCTCCCTTGCCTGGAGAGAATTTTCGCATGTCGACGAGTTTGTGTGGACTCAGCCGAGGCTGGCCGAATGAGATGGATATCATTGGTCCGACGGGTGTCTATGCACAATGAGCTTGCCGACGTGCCGCAGTGCGCGTACACGCGGATACACAAGTGCGGGACACCGGACGAATCGAGTGCGCGCCGCACCCGCGGGACGGCCGCCGCGGGACTGGGAACGAAACGCCAGGAGGCGATAGACTGCGGCGAGCGCGTGCCGAGCGTGGTTGATACTTGTTTGCGCGCAAGCAAGGGCAGGAGCGGCTTCGGGGACAGGGCGAGTGGGCAGGAGGGGAGATGGGAGTCGGAGCCGGAGCCGGGACAGGCTCAACTCTGGTTCAACTAGGCGCTGTCGACGATGATCCTGTGACCGCCTAGCGAAAGCAGCGCCGCCTTGTCGAGCGGAGCCCCGCACGCGGAGTTACTGCGCCCCGCCCTACCCCGCATCCCCTCCCCCTCATTTAACCGCACTGCCCGGTCCTCGCACTCGCACCCACCCCGCACTCTCCCACCGCTTTGTCGCCACTCGTACACGATGCCATCCGGTGCCCCAGAGTCATCTTCGTCCCCATACGCGTCCTCGTCCTCGGCCGGCCGCACCTTCGCACATCAATCTAGCCTCCCAAAGCTCCCCATCCCCCCGCTCGAGGATACCTGCGCGCGCTACCTCGCCGCCCTCGCCGCCCTCCAGGACCCGCGCGAACATGCCCGCACCAAGCGCGCCGTCGACGCCTTCCTGGCCGGCGAGGGCCCGCGCATCCAGGCGCGCCTGCGCGAGTGGGCCGCGCACAAGGACAGGTACGTCTGCGATCTTTGGTCAAGCCTCGACATCTTCTCATCGTTGTGCGCACAAGTTATATCGAAGAGTTTTGGTGCGTCGTCCAGCCGAGCCATCAGAGCCGCAGAGCTTGCCCGGCTGACCGTGCGCTCTTTTTATCTTTGTCTCGCAGGTACGAGTCGTACCTCTCTCACTCGGACCCCGTCGTCCTCGCCCTCAACCCCTTCTTCGTCCTCGAGTGAGTTCGCGCTTCCCTTAATCTCGCTTTCTCTCTATCTTTTCGTCTCTTTATCCCATCCTAGTTTCCGTCCTCCCTGCTATTTATCATCGCATGGTGTGCCGACGTACAGATGCGACTGGGTACTCTCGACGGGCACGAGTGCGTCCGATGTGCCCCCGATCGGGTTCTGTGCTTCGCAAGGGGATGCGAAGGACAGGTTAGATAGTGACGTCATGCCTCGTCACGTGCGTCGCTCCCGATGCACGGAGGATCTGTTGGTCCGCCTGCGAGTGCCTTCGATATCTTCGATATTCAACGCGGACCCGCAGCCAGGCGTTGGGAATCCTGCAATACCTGCGCGCACTCCGCGCCCCTCTCTCCTCTTTTGTTTATTTCTTCTGCCTTGTCCCACACGTTGTCGCTGATCCCGGCCTGCCTATGTAGAGACGACCCCACCCCCGAGCGTGGCGCCCAGCTCCCTCGCGCCGCAGCCCTCATCGTCTCCTCCCTCGGCTTCATACACGACCTCCGCGCCGGCACGCTCCCGCCCGACACCATCCGCGCCGGCGGCGTCCCGCTCGACATGGACCAGTACACGCGCCTGTTCGGGACCGCTCGAATACCGACCGAGGTGGGTGCGCGCTCGCGCGCGTACGGGTGGCGATGTGCTGATTGAATTTATGTGATAGCGGGGTTGCAAGATGGTCACTACGCCCGAGGCTCGGCATATCGTCGTCTTGCGGCGCGGTCAGTTCTGTGCGTCCACGTCTATTATCTGATGCTGCCCTCATGTTTACGCTGCTGATATAAACTACAATGGTGGAAGACTGGTTCGACGTGCTGGATGAGGAGAATAGGCCTGTACTCACTGAGCGTGAGATCCTGCGCAACCTCAAGGCGATCGTCGCAGACGCGGACACGCTGCCCACGTCCGAGGTGCGTTCGCGTGCCGCCGTGTCCTCCTGATTGCCCGCTCACACGCACGCGCGCACACCACACTTCTGTTCATTCGACGCCCCAGGTCGCCTTCAATTCGGTCGGCGTGCTCTCGACCGAGAACCGCAAGGTCTGGTCCGGCCTGCGCACGGCGCTCGGGGCGCGCGCGCGCGCCAACGCGTCCTGCCTGCGCGTCGTCGACGCGGCGCTCTTCGTGGTGTGCCTCGACGACGCGGCGCCCGCGGGCCTCGCGGAGCTGTGCAGCAATTTTCTGTGCGGGACGTATAAGCTCGAAGGCGGAGTGCAGACGGGGACGTGCACGAATCGGTGGTACGATAAGGTAAGCCGGGAGGTCGAATGGATCTGGGAGGGAAGAAGGGGGATTAGGCTGATTTTTTGCATTGGGTGGTGTAGTTGCAGATCATAGTCTGTGCGGACGGCGCGGCCGGGATCAATTTCGAGCATACAGGCGTCGACGGGCACACCGTCTTGCGGTGAGTCGTCCTTGTGTCGGGCCGTAGTACGAAGACCAGCCACCGGACTCTGACCTCGCTCGTCGCTCCCTCTTATTTCCAGATTCGCGGCGGACGTATTCACGGAGGGTCTCATGCTTCTAGCGCGCTCCATTAACCCCTCCGCTCCTACCCTCTTCCACGCCCCGCTCTCCCCACATGCCAAATCCTACCGCCCGCCCCGCACCTCCTCTACCGCCACCATCACCGCCCGCGCGAACCCCACGCCGCGCGCGCAAGACCCGATCGACACGACGCCGAAGAAGCTCGAGTGGACACTGACGCCGGACCTGCGCGCGGGGATTCGCTTCGCGGAGACGCGCTTGAGCGATTTGATTTGCCAGAACGACTGCCAGGCACTCGAGTTTGGCGCGTACGGAAAAAGCTTCATCACAGGCCAGGGGTTCAGCCCCGACGCGTTCGTGCAGATGGCGTTCCAGGCGGCGTATTTCGGGCTGTATGGTGCGTGTCCACCCGCCCGCGCACTCAATTCACTGACTCGGTGTGTTTCATGGTTTGAAGGGCGCACGGAGTGCACGTACGAGCCTGCGATGACCAAGGCGTTCCTGCATGGTAGAACAGAGGCCATCCGCACTGTACAGCCGCAGAGCGTACACTTCGTCAAGGTGAGCCCCCCCTCGCGCTTCGCGGCGGTGTGCGACCCGAGCCCGCTTCTCACCGCTTTCCGCTAGACGTTCTTCTCCGACGCGGACGCGGAGCAGAAGATAAAGGCGCTGCGCGCGGCGTGCGAGCGGCACGTAAAGCTCACGAAGGAGTGCAGCCAGGGCCTCGGACAAGACAGGTGCGCGCACGCGTCTCGCAGTCGCAGTCGTCGCCACCGTCGCTGCTATTAGCTGACGCACATTGAACGCGTGCACGCAGGCACCTCTACGCGCTGTACTGCCTGCTGCAGCGCGAGACGCTCGACGGGACGCTCGATCCCTCGCCCGACCAGGCGCCGCCCTCGCCGACGACGAGCGACAGCGGCAGCAATGCTAGCAACGGCAACGGCAACGGCAACGCCCCTAATGGCGGCGACTGGAGAAAGGCGGCGATGCCGGCGATCTTCACGGACCCGGGCTGGGCGCTGCTCAACACGTCGATCCTGTCGACGTCGAACTGCGGGAACCCCGCGCTGCGCCTTTTTGGGTTCGGGCCCGTCGCGGCAGACGGGTACGGGATCGGGTATATCATCAAAGACGACGGGATCTCCGTGTAGGTTTCCTTTTGACTTTTTGGTCCGCCGATAGCACAGGCTGATGAACTTGCGTTGTAATGATGGTACTTGCAGGTGCGCGTCTTCGAAGCACCTGCAGACGAGGCGCTTCCTGGACACGCTGCAGGGGTATCTGCACGACGTGCATCGCATGCTCGTGCAGCTGCACCGCGCGGCGAACGAGCGCCCCGCGCCATTCATTGACCACTCGGGGACGCTGCGCGACTCCAAGACGGGGCGCCCGATTCACGGCGGGTTGAGTGACGACGATGACGGAGATGAGGATGGTGGGGACGGGGACACGATGCGTGAGTGTAGCCTGTATCTCGATTCCTTCTGCGCGCGTGTGTGGCTGACGGGGCGACGGCGACGCTTGGGATACAGCGGGCTACTCATTCTTTGACAGCTCGGACGTGGAGCTGCTGGGCAGGCGCAAGCGGTCTGTGCACCACAGTGTCGGTGTGTCTCTCTCTCTCTTCCTCAGCTCGGTAATTGCGGCGCGGTCTGATCGGTTGGGCTTGGGGCTTTTGCAGGCAAGGTGATCCCTATGGCGGAGTACTGACGTGCATGTACCGAGGTCGCCGGGGTTGGATGATTATTCTGAGCTAGGACGGTATGAGTGCGGTCCTCTTCCCTTCCATGCATGTCATTCAAGGCTCCCCCTTAGATTTGCGCTTTCCTCTAGTCGATAGAATTTTTTATTTTATTTCATCATCTTGTTTCATGTATGGTTTTTGAATGGGAGACACACGACAGGGTAGGATATCCCTCTTTTTAATCTTTTTTTTTGGGATATGATGATTTTATGTATGGCATCGCGCCGGTGCATCTTGTCTACAATGTATTTCCTATTCCCATTTCTCAATACCATTCTTTTAATGGCGCGCTTCCACTTGTTGTGAGCCGTATACTACTTTCGAAGGGCGGCGCTCTCGGATCCCACGCGTCAAATTTGTCATGTCGCAGACGCGCACTCGCCCGTAGCGCGCAAGCTACTCCTTCCCACTCATGATAAGCTTTACAAACTCCCTGTGGCCTATAGAGTATGCACTGAATACCTGTGCATCATGTACCCCCCGTGATCGCGTCGTTGGTAACTTTCACGTCCAGCGCATCTTCGCTGGTCGTTTTCGGAGGGCGCGGAGCGGCGGAGATCGTGCCGCGGGTCGACTCGTTGAGGGAGCTGAGTGGAGCAAGATTCCAGAGGCAGGAAGCGATATCTGCACTGTTGCATATGTGGAGGCAGCGGAAGCTTGACCAGGCGGATGACCAGGCAGATCAAATAGTCGCAGAAGTCACGTTGAGTTACGCGTGTTTTGGTGTATGTGGGCCTATGTGGGCGCGGTCTTTATTGGATCTGTTAGGCGTCGTCGTGTTGTGCTTTCGAACACCATCATCCAGGCCGACTCACCTCAACATCAACTCTACCGAACAGTCATGCCTTTCCCTACACAGCATGAACGTCACTCTCCGCCGCCATATGACGCTCGTAATCCCCCGCCGCCGCCGCGGACAGAGCATGTTCCGTGGTCAGCACCCTCTCCTCATTCACTGCTGGGCTTTACCTTGACAATATGATATGCGACCCCTCAAGAAACGATGAAGAAACTCCCCTCTTCACAGTCACGGTCATTACGGGACCTGTTCAAGGGAAGGCACACAATCGCCGCGCGCCATCCCGATCAAGGAGATTGTCGTGACTTGCGTCTTGGCAGCTGCGGTGCCATTTGTCGTGCTCTGTTTCCTCAGTCTGCGACTTGCGCACGTGCGCACAGAACTCAATAGCGAGCGCTCAGTGTTCGCGCGCGAGCGGGTTCTCTTCGAGCATGAGCGGCAGGAATGGGACCGCGAACGGCAGGAATGGGAGCATGAGCGGATAGCGCACAGGCCGTTTTGGGGCGAGATGCAGCGTGTGTCACCGTACTGCCTCGCGTATAACACGATGGAGTACAAGGCGCGACTGTGGAACGTCCCACTGGGCGGGGACTGGCTGCAGGCATGCATGGGAACAGAACAAAAGATCCACAATCGGACGGTGGAAAGGCCAGACAGGTGTGAGGATCGGGTGAGCTCAGTCGTGGGATCCTGAGCGTCAGACTCGGCTTGCTGAACGTCGGTTTATTGTCGTTCTCCCAGGGACAAAACGACGTGTATTGGGGATATTGGCGAATTGGTTTCGACGAACCCGAGTGCATAACCAGATGGGGAGAGACATGGGATAAAGTAAGACGGTTTTAATTCATATAAAAATCAACCGATTGTTCATCCATTTGTTCTTCACAGGGATGCGTCCGCTTGGGCGTCCACGTACGTTTCATTGCAACCTGAATTCATTCTAAAGAGACTCACAAGAATGCACAGGGCGTTGAGGCGCCGATGTGGGGCCAGAAGTACAATGATGACTGGTACCAGATGTGTTGGACTACACCGGGCCATCTACCTGGTATTTCTAACGATTTCGGTTTCCCCAACGATTGTCAACAGCGGGTGCGTAGTTCTCTGTCAACTTTTCTTTCTGCTGTTGTTTATGTGCTGGCGGGCCGCTAGAATGAGGAGGGTGGGGGGATGATTGGCGTGTGGGAGTACCACGATGGGAATTGTCATCTATAGTGGTAAATGCAAGGCTTTTTCTCCTTTTTGTTCTCATGTGCTGCTCCCTTGCGTGTTATACTCGCATCTTTTCAAGCGACCGTTTTGGTTTTGGTTTTGTTTCACCTGATTCGTACAATGTCACCAATGCAGAAAACGTCGTTGGCTCCAGCTTATACAGGAGTGAGCGACAACCTAAACAAACCAGAAACCAGCTTATCATAACACTCGACGTGATAGCGTGTGCACCTCATGCGGGGGCCGGGCGGGGCACTGCACTGCACCAACTTCATTTGCATTGCAGTCCTGTCTGCACCTGGAAGTCCGTTTTTTCAGCGCGTGGTCTTGCTGTTATGGGCGGCGGATGCGCAGGATTTACGTGTGCTGGCGAATTTCATATCAAGTCTGCACTGTTGCACAAGGGAGAAGCTCGCTGGAGAACTCACGTTGCGTCGTCGAGCGGCATGTGCATCTCTACAAGAGTCAACAGGCGCTTGTCGTTCTGTCCGCACGGAACCCAGATCGAACAGACAACCGGTTCATTGACGGTCGGACGTCTACGAGGCCTAGTCGAAAGCCAATGCCAGGAATATTAGCCGAGGAGAAGTCCTCAATGAGGATGAAAGGCTATGAAAGGACAAGAGACTAATGGATTCCCACGCATCCTCCAGGCACGACCATCATGACCTCGACCCTCCACCTCTCTGCTCATTCATTTTCAGGCCCTCGAACCGCGCAGCTGTATATCGTTTGGAAATGCGACGGTGCAGCTCGTACATCATCCTGAGTACAACTCCCCGCTCATCCTCTGGCGCTCCAAGGTCTTCGCAGACTGAGTTGGCGCAGGCGTGTTCCATCCATTCGTCCCTGTCCTTGAAGGATTTGCCTCCATCCGCACCATCTACCGCCACCTCCTGGAAGACCAGGTCCAATGCAGAGATGCCTTCTTCGATTCGCGCACGACAGAGCGAGATCTGCTACATTTTCAACTCACTACCGCTTTTTTCCCGCCAATCTTCTTCCTCTGCAACTCCGAACGTGTAACCCGCAAGATTTGTCTAGCTCGGATAGGCAGGTCTTCAAATAATCTGGGTCTGAAAGCAGAGCGATACGTGTAGAGGATGAAAATTTGAGCTTGAATCTGAACAGATTTGGAAGAACCTAGGTGAGTGGGCCTCTCGAGTACTGGTGGTAGGCGCATCTGTAAAATTTGAGCATCATGCGGCGCAAGCTGCCAATGTAGACAGGGATAGGAGACAAATCGCTGGCTCTGGCATCATTAAACTTTGTGACTGACTTCTTCTAGCAGGGAGTACGTATAGTGATGGAGAACCAGTCTGGCAGGGAGCAATCATCAAACTCTCCGCTTCATCACTCGTTACAACTTCTATCTCATATTTTTCTGCTCATCGTATCATGATTCAATCTAGAGAAAAGTAGAACCCCATCACGCTCTTCGTCAATTCAAAGTTGCAGAATGTGGACTCACGATCACTTTGACAGCACCAGAGTGGGGGTCTAAGACAGTCTCGAATGCTTTGATGCAGTCTTCGAGGCTAAATGTGTGGCTAATGAGCGCCTCAAGGTTCAGCTTGCCCGTGGAGGCGAGGCGGATCGCGGCCGGCCACGTCGACTTGTAACGGAAGAGGTAACGGAGATCAATCTGCAAGCGACCCTGTCAGCTCTAACGACAATGCGATAACGAAGAAAAAATCCACCTCCCGATCCATGACGGCGCCGAAGGGGATCGCAACGTGCTCCTTACCACATACACCTATTTGAAGGACGACCCCACCTGCATCTACCGCCTTGAGAGTAGCATCCATTCAGTCATAAGGTTAGATGGATGTAGTATTTGACTGACCAGCATCGCCGATTGAATAGATGACTCGATTCCAGAGCACTCGATAGCGACCTCTGGTCTATCTGCTTCGCCAGTGAGGCTTACAATCTCCTTCACGACTTCTGCTGGGCTCTTGCCGCCGACATTGACAACGTACTTTGCACCCAACTTCTTTGCGATTTCTAGCCGAGGCTGCGAGATATCCGTGGCAACGATTGGTGTCGCACCCGCTGCATTGGCGAGCGCGACCGCGAGCAGGCCAACGGCGCCCGTACCGGCGATCAAGGCAGGTTGTCCGAGACGGAGGTCGGCGCGGCGGATACCTGCAAGCGCAACAGAGAGCGGTTCGAGGATGGCCCCCGTGGCAAAGCTCATATCGGGAGGCATCAAGTGTAGCCAGGCCGCCCGGTGCGCGATGTACCGCCGTAGACAACCTGGCGTCCCAGGCGCCCCGATGGACGTGGCAGTTGGGCAGAGGTTGTATCGTCCGATCAGGCAGTGTTTGCACGTCCCGCACGGGATCGTAGTCCTAGTTGTCCATCCTTGTTCAGTTTGAATCTTCTACGGGATAGGGCGAGCTCCGACACTCACTCGATGGCGACGCGATCTCCGACTTTCAATTTTGTCACATCCTTTCCGATCTCGACGATTTCGCCCGCGGACTCGTGCCCGAGACCGAGAGGCTCTTCGACGATGATGGAACCGACGTGTCCTGCGCGCCAGAATTTGATGTCCGAGCCGCAGATACCTGTCGAACGAATGCGCACGATACTGGCGAACAGCGCTCAAATCCAGAAAACGGCTATATTCTACGAATGATACTCACCACTGGTCATCGCCACATGTTGGATACGGTGATTCTTCAACGTACAGGTCATGGGCCTTGTTAGTGAAAACAGCCGGATTTGAGGTGTCTAAGTGGTCGATATCTCATCATGTTCGTGTTCAGCAAAGGTACGGGGGGAACGCATACCAAGAGCGGATGTGGCACTCATGATATTGATGTTGTTATGGTCGATGGCAGGATCTCAATGGAGAGCAGCGAAAGGATTTTATTGTGAGATCGCATGCACCAGAGGGAGAAGCCAAGAAGCCACGGAGTTAAATGTTTCCTTTTCTGTCTCATCGGTCCTCGGCTCCGGCCGTCTACCCCACGATCGAGATGGAACATGGCGATCAACGGGGCGGCCAAACCCGTGGCGAACATGTACGTTTTGCGAGCCTGCGGAGAATTTCGACTCACACTGATATTCGGACCGGGCTGCAGCTCCTAGTCTGGTGACATACATTGAAGCGTAAACTGTACATCAGCTGCCTCCATTTACTGGCCCATATGACCTCTGCCACAAGTGAAAGGCCGCGGCAAACCGTTATATGCCCTAAAATGCTAGTTCAATGCCCGGATGCGGCAGCCCTGTTTTGGCATGCCCGTCTGCTCCTCTATCTGCCCTGATCGCGATACCTTGGCTTTCTAGTGTTCAATTGCAATTCACCCCCGCATCGATGTCATTGCTCCCGCATTTAAGCAAAATGCCAGACTCTGAGCTTCTTCGCCCTTGCACCACAACTTCGACATGAACACCGATGAAGTCGCCGCTCTTGCTACACGACGTGAACAGCTCACAGCGGGCCGCAAAACAGGCATAGGAGGGCTCTTCGCTAGCCCGCGATTACTCGGTATTGCAGCGCTCGCAGCGCTCGGAGGCCTGAACTATGGATATGAGTAAGTACGCGGAACCTGCATCACATGATTCCATTGATTGTAATGACAGATCGCAGACAAGGCTCTTGTAAGTTGATTCAAGCTCACTCGTTGCGAGCCCACCTGTGACGTTGTATAGATGCACAGGTGCTCGTGATGCCCTCTTTCGCTGATGACCCCAGGTTCAGCAGGATCGCCAATGATGCCAGTTACAAAGGTTGGACTGTTAGCACGCTACCTCTTGGAGGATGGCTTGGGGCCCTCATCAATGGGTACGTTCTTGGCAAAGCCGGCCGGCGCTGGGCCATTTGTGGCGCATCTGCGGTCTGTCTGCTTGGAGCCATCTTGACCACGGTGGCGATGGCACCCTCGTACATATTTGCTGGACGGTTCTTCATTGGTATGGCTGCTCAAATTTATCGCTTTCATGCGTACACTTTGTCTAAGTCCAAATATCAGGTATGGCAGTGGGAATGATGTCTACAGCCGTCCCTACATTCGAGTCTGAGGTAGGCTAAGACCATAGCCTTGAGAAGAAGCAATTTTAACAATAGACCTGTGTAGCTGGCTCCTCCCGAGATTCGGGGAACTGTTGTTGGTCTATTTCAGCTAGCGGTGACTCGTACGCATCTTATCATATGTGCACTTTAGCCTTGTAGTCTGACACAATTTCAGTGGGTATCATGGTTTCGTACTGGATTGGGTATGTCGTCTCTTCGCCCTCCGCCTCTATCTGGTGCTATTTTATTCGTCAGGTATGGTACGAACTACATCAGCGACACAAGTTCTGCGTCTTGGCGGATAGTACGTGAATATATGTATGCATCAGGCTACCTGGTCACTGACCGCATTTCAGCCTCTTGCTATTCAATGCGTTCCGGCTCTGCTGCTCATGTTTGGAATTTGGATCTTGCCCGAATCACCACGACATCTAGTAAACATCGGTCAGGATCAGAAGGCCTTGGAAGTGTTGGCATATGTCCGGAAACGAAGCATAGACGATGAGTACGCTTTGTGCTTCTCTTATTCATATCGTATCCATCATAAAACTGACCCTCCCTTCCAGACTCACTAATCTAGAGTTTTTGGAGATCAAGGCAGAAGCCATTTTTGGTTTGTTGCTATGATTTTCGCTATTCTTGCTGGTGTTGATCGGGCTCTGCAGACAAAGAAGTCATCAGTGAACGTTATCCCGATCTTATCAATAGAACTTGGCTCCAGGACGTGCAGATCGAGATGCTTGAGATCATGACATTGTTTTCATCATGGGACTCTTTCAAACGGACGGCAACGGGAGGTCTCGTTATGTTCTTTCAACAATGGACAGGGATCGATGCCATCGTCAAGTTCGTGTCACTTGCGTGGCTATTCTGGTTTTTACTCATGACCGCCTTCCATCAGCTACGCACCAACAATTTTCAAAAGCATGTAAGTTGTACTGTGATGCTCTGCTGTGCAAAATGGTCGACCTCGGTCCGTTACCTAGTGGCCTTGCAGGGGATACAACTTCACTTCTTGCATCCGGTGTTGTAGGAGGCGACCGTTTCGTTGCTACTGTTGTTGACAAGCTTCGCTGAAGAGCGTTCAAAAGCGATCACTTTTTTCGCTACGATCCCAGCATTACAATACATCGACAAGTTCGGGCGCCGAACTCTCATGCTCGTTGGGACTGTGGGCATGATGTTGATGCTGATATTGGTGGCCGCGCTTTCTGCTTCATTTGGGGATGATTGGGCTAGCCACCAAGGCGTGAGCTGGTTCACTGTGAGTCCCTCCCACCGTTGTCATATAACATTGATCGCTCATTGTTGTTTCTGCAGGTGGTTTGCATATGGATCTACGTCGGTGAGGACCGATAACGCGCGCAGACACATGGTTGCTAATAGGTTGGTTTCGCTGTAGCTCATTTTGGGTTCAGTTGGTGAGTGCTCTGTTGTGCTGTTCTCCTATGAAAATTGCGGGATCTGAACGATTTTATTCTACCAGGGGCCCTACGTGAGTGATCCAGCATTTAGAAGCACCATCTGAGAGCTCACTGTCATTGCATCGCTGCAGATCATGGTGTGTCATTTCCGAGATATTCCCTCTATCCACTCGTGGTCCTGGAGTTGCCTTATCTGCGTCTTCGAACTGGGTACGCCCTGTCCACACTCTTTTTTGCAAAATCAGGATCATGAATCGAGCTCCACAGATGAATAATTTCATCGTTTCGTGAGTATCATCATATGCCGGCGTAGTCGTGAGTTGACAATGCTTTTTCTCAGTTACACTGTGCCCATCATGCTCGATAAAATTGGCTACAAGGTGCGTTGTCATGTGCGCCAGACCGATGAGAAGCCTGCTAACAGCTGATCCAACAGACGTACATTGTTTTCATCTGTACGCTCGCCCTTGGTGGATTGTGGGTTATATTCCTCCTGCCAGAAACTCGCGGCAAGTCTCTGGAAGAGTACGTCGTAACATATTCGGGATGGATACGAGACTTACCTGTTCACAGGATGGACATCGTCTTCAAATCCCGTACAGGTGTCAAAGATGTAGAGCGTATGCACGAAATATCGGCACGGATTGGGCTTACCGAGCATGCGAGAGGCGTATCTCCAAGCCACAGCGACGAGGGGTTAAAGGAAAAGGTGGATCATATGGAGTCTATGTCTCCAGTTTGAGCGACACCGAGAGATGCCGACGACCACCTTGTTCTAATCATCACTACTCACTAGTGTACGTTATGAACGACCTTCATGAAAATTACCTTCAGGACATGCGCGTCCACACTGGCAGAGGCAGATTTTTCAGTTGTCTTAGCGTGCCTGGGCAGGAACGGTCTAGGGGAGATTTCGTCACACGTGATACACTGACTTCGGCAGACTGTCACCGAGGGCTGCATTTAGCGGTCATTGTCTACACTAAGCGCAATGGTGAACCCTTGTTATCCATCTTCATGTTCATCACGTTAGCCACAGCAACCCATGCTGACCGACCGACCAAGCGTGCCCGAAGAGTGCTTGCGTGTTCCCGTTGTCGCCAGCGGAAGATAAAATGCGATCTCGAGGGACAAAGCAGACCCTGCTCGAAATGCCAGGCTGCAAGGGCTGAATGCATGTCAGTATGGATATCTATTATCTCTCTCTGCTTCATTTGATATCCTTCGCTTTCGTGTTTCAGTACATATGAACAAATCACGACGGACGAGCAATCTACGAAAAGTGATCAACCTGCCCATCAGGTGTCGTGGTCAACCTCGGAAGAGCCGCCAACTTCAGGTTCAGCACCATCTTCTGTCTACACAGCCAATGCGCAAACACCATCTCATTCTCAATACCTCCCGTCTGCCTCTCCTCAGACCAGCTTGCCTCGTTTCGAAGAGCTTAATTTCCATTCGAGAACGTCCGGACATCACGGCTCTCTAGATGTCCGTAACCCACCTTCCACTAGGCGACAGGCATCCAGTCCTGATACTCCAACGGTGGACGAGCCAGTGGGAGATACAACATTATCGAGGATGTTGGAGTATTCTTCGACGGCGCCGAGTGCGTCATCATATTCTCACCAGGAAAACTTCCGTCCTGAATCGTCTTGCAGCCCCAAAATCTTCTCCATCTTCCTTTATCTTCATCGGAAACACCAATCCTCTGTCATGCCTTATCCAAGAGCAAGATAAAGCGAAAATCGTAGATAGAACAGCGGGATACCGGGCATTATTACCTCGACACCCTGGGAATTCACCTCGGCCCCAGCGAGAGTATCCTACGCAAGCTCTCTGCTCTCTTGACTGGTATGGGGCATTCGCTGCTGCTGGTCATGACCCGTTTCAACTTCGGTATCTGGACAAAATTGGTTGCTTCACCCTTCCACCTGATGACGTTATTTTCTCCCGTACGACAGTGCATCCTATCATCTCTCTCTAAAAATAATCTAATCATCAATATCGCAGTAATGTCGACTTTTTTTCAACATTTTCACCCGCTGTACCCAGTGCTTGATCGCCCAGAGTTTGAGGCGTCATTGCGGAGCGGAGACACACAAGAGCTCCCGCCTCTCATTCTCATCCGCGCCGTATTGCTCATGGGTGCACGATTCTCAAAGCATCCGTACGTTCTCGGAGCGGCCGCGGGCACAAGGTATTGTTGCGACCAACTGTATTCTAAAGCGAGGGCACTTTTTCTAGCTGATCTCAACTTCGAACCTTTATCAATGATCCAAGCTGGTTTGATGATGAGTACGTCGAGAAATCCGAAGATGTGTATATGGCTGAGCTTAGTTCTACAGGTTTACACTGGGAAGGCCTCGATGGAAGTAACACTGCGTTGAGCCACCTCGGTACTGCCGTCAGGCTTGCACAGGGTATGGGTTGTCATCGGCCAGCAACAACTCGAAAGCTCAAGGGACAGCCATTTCTTGCCAAACCGAGCTCATCGAGTTCACCCCGCCAACTGGCCCTTCTCAGGCGTATATGGCATAGCGCTATTGCTATCGACCGTTTCACAGCCATCACAGAGGGAGTCAGCACGATTATGTTAGTCTCAGTTCACGAACTGGCACCACCAGTGCTAAAACTTGTCGTTCTCTAGCGGCGACCATGATGCCTCTCTTTTGGAATCACTGGCTGCTGCAGACTTTGAGTTTGAGAACCCGCTTGTCCATGCGGTTTCTACCGCTAACGTCCACTTGGCTGCGTTGTTATATCGCATCCTCAGGACACATTATCAGCTTGATTCAGAGGAATGCGAACGAAGTTCTATAGCTCTCGACTCGGCGGGACACGCAAAGCGCATGGAGAATCGGCTACGCCTTGAGATTGAACTTGCCAACTTTCCTTCCCATCTCCAAGACGAAGTGCATCTTCCATCCCAACTCCTCGAAAATGCTCCGCCTTCGCATATCTGGGCAGGTAGGTTCCGTCCGCTGTCTAGACACCAAACGCTGAAATTGTACGTATGCAGCCTATCTTCACCTCCACTACCTCGCCGCGGTCATTCTAATAAATCGTCCATATATTCCCCTTCTCACCCCCGCCCGGGCGACTGAGCTATCTGACCTCTCGTCAATGACCAATCCCATGGGACAGTCCAGTCGTGAGGCATGTAGACGTGCAGCCAATGACGCCGTCACCTTGCTCTCTTCTCTTGGCGAGATCGACGCCTTGCGATACTCCTGGCCGTTTACCGTGTACACGGCTGTCTCTGCTCTATTGATTAGCTACCAGGACTTTGGAGCGCCAGATTTGGAGATTTCTAGACAGGCCGCTACACGGTACGACTCCATCATTGAGCTTCTGCGGAGGTTAGGTAGGACATGGTGGGCCGCGGCAGCGAAGGTGCGTTGTCGCCTTTATCAGTCAAGTCTACCTGCTTCTGAAGATCCTCGTGTTCATGGCTGTAGTATCGACTTGCGATCGTGATCAAGGAGGGATATATTCGGTCTAGCGCGGCTGAGCCACATCGGCCCATCTTTGGCACGCCGGGTCCGTTGGTGTTTGTAGACGATCAAGACAGTTGGGAAACGCACGAAGATGGTCAAAATTCGATGATCCCCCTGGATGACTCGTTTTGGAGGGCCTTGGGCCTCAGCCCATCTATCTTTGGTCCCGAGGGGAATCTAGTCTCCGAGTTTTGAGCTCTGGCGTCGCCATTTGCACGATGTACGTTATGTTCGCTCATTGTTATACAGGCCTTCGTCTTCAAAAATTCACTGGAACCGCAAGGTCACGGCCTTTCTCGTCATTCTATTCTGTAATCAACACTACTACGATATACTTGGAGAAGAATTCGATACGCTTACTATCAATCTACATATACTGTTTTCCCCTCCTTGGCACTGACCCGACAAAGCTCCAGCAGTCGTATCACCAACAGTGCCTCTTCTGGTTTGACTTTAAGGAGGGACCTGTCGCCGCTCTCGATTGCCTTTGCGATATTCTCATAGAAGCGCACCCACTGGCCAGATATGGTGGGGACAGTCGAGCTAGCTGACGCATTGAAGACTGTCCCATGAAATTTAGAATCCTCACGCCCAAAGGCCTCCGGATGTGACCCAGGCTTTTGCGATGGCATCCCCATCAACTGCGACTCTTGGGGATCCATACCATGCTAGATCGTCTTGTAAGCTCTATGTTTTCGAATATCCACATAGAACCTGACCTTGACATAGGTTCCTCGTGTACCTCTGACTGCGAGGCGCAACGGTGGGTCCGTGGCATCCAGACATGATGCGCGACAGAGGGCAGAGAGCCCAAGGTTGGGATATTGAAGAGTGACCATGAAGCAGTCGTCCACTGACTTTGGCTCGGTCTGTCGCTCATTCCACGTAAACGCCGTCAGAGAGGCTGGCTTTCCGAAAGCACACACGACTGGATATCGGGAACCGTGAGTGTTCGACAGTTGGAACCCACTTAATAAGTTCACTCACCTTGGTCGATGAGGTGACTGCCAAGATCGTACAGAACTCCCGAACCTTGGCCGACCTGTTCGCGCCAGTTTCCGGACAGTGCGGGTTGGAAGCGGTTGAAATAGCTCTCCCAAAAAACAGGTCTGCCGATGATGCTGTCGTTGATGAGCTTCTTGGCAGTCAGAAAGTCCCCATCCCACCGCCGATCTAGGGTAACGAGGATCAGGAGTACGCCCGATCCCGACGCGTTGAAGTGCCTACTGTGGTATACGCTAAGCACTACATTTTTGTGGGCTGCGAGATCGCACAGTTCCTGCGCCTGGACTGAATCCTCCGTGAACGGTTTCTCGACGACCACTGGGTACAAAAGGTCAGATCAACATGATTACAGTTGGAGAATGCAGTACCGTGTTTGCCTGCTTCGAGAGCGCGCTTCGCAAATACGTAGTGGGTGTGATTCACAGTCGTTATGATCACCAGCTGGATCTCTGGGTTCGACAAAACATCATCGATCGATTTGGCGACGTGGACATCTGGGAATTCCTGGAGACAGGTATCGCTGGATCGCTCAAGGATCGTGACGACCTGGAGCACAGGAACTGAAGTGATAAACGGGAGGTGAAAGACTTTGGCCGAAAAGCCATATCCAAGTACTGCGACTTTGATTGGCATGATTGGATTGAAGGGCGATGTCCGTGCCGTGTCTTGCAGAAAAAAGGGTCATATTCAAGGTTGGCGATGTCCTATTTCGGCTGAGATTGCAATTTCGGATATAGGGCACGGACTTCGACACCGGACATCGTGGATGAATTTAGCCAGCAGATGACTGCAGATGACCTCTGTGATGCGGACAAGCGGCGGATGGTAACCGTATTTGGGATTCGTATCTGCGTCGCGTCGTACGCACTGCGGCCGAGTAACCAAATATGGGAGTCATATCTGCGCACAAAATCTAATGACGGAAACCGGCAGGTCCCATGTCTTTGCAGTCCAGTTCTCTAGAATTTTCTTCAGAGCCCGTGATGGCCAAGAATTGGAAGACATTTAGCGAGGCCCCGCAGTCAGGGGAATTCGAAGGCACGCTCTGGGGTAAGTCTGGGGTAAAGCCTTCTTTTTAAAAAGCTCTGTCGGTAGAGAAATAATTATACGACTCGCACCTGCTTGTGAGAAGTGGATCATCATGAGAGTCTCACCAAGCTCGCTAGTCGTCGCCTCCCTGGTGCCGCTCGTTCTCGGTGCGTACAGCTCGCTGGTATCTGGTTCAAGGTTACTCATTCCGGATGTCCGTGAATTGTGACGTTATCAGGCCAAGGGAACCACGACTTCACCAGGCCTCCCAACCTCTACTATCCCCGTTCTCCCATATGGCCAGAGACCGTTCCCAACACGACAGGATATGGCTGGCAAACGGGATTCAAGCGCGCAAGGGCGTTTGTAAGCCAGCTCACCACAAAGGAGAAGTCGCAGATCTGTACAGGAAAGGGAGTGCGTGTCCTTTGAACCAATCTCGATGGTGGGATGCTCACGTCGGGTTGCCTAGCTTGCGAACCACTCCAACCCAGATCAAGTTTGCCAAGGCAATATCCTGCCCATCCCTCGTCTGAACTTCTCAGGTACCTCACCCTTTATTCTCACCGAGTCATCAGATCGTTTGACAGACCGATAGGTATATGCTACGGCGACTCCGACAGCGGCATCGGTAACACCCACACCTTGGCATCTGGTAATCTCACATGTGCATCTCATCGATGTTCGGCTGACATGTTCAAGGTTTCCCACTTGGAATTCATGCTGCCGCCACCTGGAACAAGGACTTGATACGTGCACGTGCGTACGGAATATGTTCTGAATTCCGCACCAAGGGCGTCCACGTGTTCCTTGGCCCCGTCGCAGTCCTCTCGCGTTACGTCGGTGGTGGGACGAACTTTGAGGGGTTCGGGGTAGACCCATATTTGGGAGGTATTGCCAGTGCGCTCACAGTGCAAGGATGTCAGGCGACTGGGGTGAGTCCCATTTCGAAACGCTAGCCTCGCCGATCTGATTCAAGAACTCGTAGGTCCAAGCAAGTCCGAAGCAGTACCTAGGGTACGACGGTCAGAATCAAGACAGAGTTTACTGTGCGTTGGCCTCCATCTTTGGCCAAGCTGAGCTCCGTACCGAAATGCGATATTTTCCAGACAGCAGTAATATTGATGACAAGACTATGCACGAGATTAATGTCTGGCCTTTCGCTGAAGCCGTGAGGGCCAACCCGGCTGTGATGCAAGTAACACACTTTTGCTTTTCATTTACTTTATCAACTCGGAAGCCTGTAGAATGTGGTGAGTGGTCGCTCTGGGACCGATGGTTGAGCAACAGCTGATGCATATGGTGTTCCCCTTGTTACCAGCTCTTATAGTGAGCACCATCTCTGCCTTTGCGAGTCGTTCCTACTGAACTGTATCATCTAGACTATATTAACAACACGTGAGCCATCAATGTTCATAAAAGAAACTATCGTCTGATCCTTTGCGGTAGGCAAGCGTGTCAAAACAGCTACCTGCTGAATGGGATTCTCAAGCGTCAGGCGAGTTATTCATTTGCTGTTGACTTCTCCACCGCCTGATGCCAAAGCGTAGCTCGGATTCAGCGGGTACGTCAACTCGGATTGGTTTGCCTTAAAAGCTGGATTATCTGGTACGTCTCCGGATTCACTCAGTAGACTACTAGGTGATGAGTTGACATCGCTTTTCAGCATACAATGGTGCGTTGAACGTTAATCATCAACGTTATTGGACACTCAAATCACAATTATAATTAGCTGGAACGGATCAAGACATGCCGGGGTAAGCTCTCCGACCGCATAGGCGATTGATCGTACTCATCCGTTCTCCTAGTTGGCCGTAAGTCTACGAAGGATCATTGATGCTTCGTTTGTCGAATCACATTTTGCAGTGGTCGTGATGCCGAGGGAAACTCAATCCCGTGGTCTTATTTTGGCGGCAACCTCACCGAATCTGTCAACAATGGAAGTCTCCCTGAATGGCGATTGAACGACATGGGTAAGCAGCGCAGTATCCGATATGCATATTCGCGCTCACCAAGCATTCTTAGCTACGCGTATCTTGACGCCTTACTTTGGGCTCGACCAGGACCGCGGATTCCCAGACACCAACCTGTTGGACGGTCCGTTCGAGAACACGGTCGACGCTCAGCGAAAGCGGCATCAGACTTTGATCCAGGACATCGCCGCCGCAGGAACAGTACTGCTCAAGAATGAGCAAGGCACCTTACCGCTTTGGCGCGAGAAGAAGATCGGTAAGCGCCGAGGGCCTCACCTCCTGTTGCTCTAACCTCTCCCGTCATCGTGTAGCTGTCTTTGGGGTCGATGCCGGCCAGAATCCGTATGGACCCAACTCGTATGGCTATGGCGCAAGCGGCCCCGCAGACGATTTCCAGTGGTCGCTCCCTGGCATGGGCTGGGGGACTCTCGCCGGAGGCGCAGGGTCCGGCTCCACTTACTGTGCGCGCACTCGCCCGGCTCGCGTTCTCGCGCCTCGCTCATCTCTGTGCCAAATATAGACGCACAGCTGATCGACCCGCTCATGGCGCTGCAGCTGAAGGCGCGAGAGCAGATGACGACGATCGACTGGACGATCACCCCGAACCTGACCGCGACGGCGGCGATGGCGCAGACCGCGACGAAGTGCATTGTCTTTGGGTCCTCGCTGTCCGGAGAAGGCTGGGATCGGAACGTCACGCTCATGCACGACGGCGATGCGATCATCAATGCCGTGGCCGATAACTGCGCGAAGACGATCGTGGTCATACACACGGTTGGGCCTGTGGACATGGAGGTATGTCCGTTACACAAGTCTATCAAATAGGGGTTTGAATATATCGTTTGTGTAGAAATGGGCAGATCATCCGAACGTCAGTGACACGCTTCCCCTTGTCGATCGTCAGCCTGAAGGGTATTGCGCTATAGGTGACTGCCATCATCAACGCCGGTCTTCCCGGTCAGGAGGTACGTCCGTTGATCGGTTCATACATCTTGAAATATGGCCGATAATGGTCGACATCAGTCTGGCTTTGCCCTCACCTCTATCCTCTACGGAGAAGTGACGCCGTCGGGACGAGTACGTATCACTCTCGACCACGTCCCATCTCACTCTGACCCTCCGCAGCTCCCATACACCATCGCCAAGAACGTCACAGACTACGCGCAGCCCTTCCAGATCGCCACTCCCCGTAACTACCCTCGCTGTTTCGCGTCGTCGAAGGGTCGCTGATCGCCCCGCCGTCTGTGCGAACAGAGGACTACCCACAGATCAACTACACCGAAGGCGTCCTGATCGACTACCGCGGCCTCCAAGTCCGCAACATCAGCACGCGCTACCCCTTCGGTCAGTCCCTTCCACCGCGCTCGCCCGCCAACACACCTCGAAGACTGACTCGGCGGCGCACGCAGGCCACGGGCTGTCCTACACCACGTTCGAGTACAAGGGCCTCGAGGTGACGAAACACGCCACCCTCCAGACCGCGCTGAAGACCAAGATCGTGTGGGAGGCGGACGCGCCCGGCGGGGACACCAACCTGTTCGAGACCGCGGTCGGCGTCGCGCTGACGGTCACCAACGTCGGCACCTTCCCCGGAACGTACGTCCCTTCTTCCCACCCGACCGCGGAGACGCGCGCTGACCCCCTAGCGTTTGCGCGCGCGCGGCGCAGCGAGATCGTGCAGCTGTATCTGCAGATGCCGGAAGAGGCAGAGAACCCCGCGCGCATCCTGCGCGGGTTCGAGGCCGTCGACGTCCCCGTGGGGCAGAGCGCGCGCGTGAAGCTGTATCTCACGCGCAAGGACATCTCGTACTGGAGCGTAAGCGCCCTCGTCTCCCCGCCCCTCCTTCCACCGCGCGCTTGCCGACCGCCCTCACGTGCTTCATTTCGTGGACCACAGGTCGTGCAGCAGACATGGGTCGTGCCGGCGGGCCGCTTCGACGTCTACGTTGGCGCGTCGTCGCAGGACCTGCGCCTCACGGGCGGCTTCGACATCGCGGCGCACTGAACGGCCCTCATGGCGTCTGCCTGCGGCCCTCGATGTACCCACCACTCACTTACTTACTTATCCGCTACGTTTACCGGCTCGACGAGTAATGACCTTGCATTTTCGTTTTCATTCTCGGTTTCCTCTTTGTGATCATTTTGTTGGTGACCCGCGTCGTGAGGCTGTCAATGAGCAACACCGCCCGAAGGCGTTTTCGTTTCTACTCACCGTCATCGAAGGGGGACTGAATGAGACTGAGTACCGAGTAGGACCGAGTGCGTGCAGCCCATCGCAGGTGGCCAGGACCCGCGCGCACGGCTACCACGCACCGCCGCAGGATCCTGACATGCGCTCTCCTCCGTCCAAGACGCCTCGAAGCGCGCCCTCCCCCCGCACACCTACACCCGTCCGCTCACACCGCGCGGTCAACTCACAGCGCCACGCCGCATCGTCAACTCACGCCGCGTTGATAGCTCACGCCGGATCCGCGCGAACCCCAAAGTAGCGCTGCCCGCCGAGCGTGCGACGGCGCGCGCGGTTGCGGCGCTAGGCGGCTGGCTCGGGTGGACTAGGCTTCGAGCAGGCAGTAGAGCACATCGCCCCTCTGTTCATTCAGGTTCAGGTATACAACAACAACGACAACGACGACGACAACAACGCGCAAATCTACCGCCACCGCCCTCTTTCATCTTCCCTCACCTCGCGCCTCCCATGCGTCCTCAAGGAGAACGCGCGGCGGAAGGGCGGGAGGCGCGCGCGCTCACTTGCGCGCGACGTGCTCGTAGAAGGTCTTTCCCTGGATGGTGGCGACCTCGAGCTCGAGCGCGGAGGGCTGGCGCGAGCCGTCGGCTGCGGTGAGCGTGCCGGCGCCCCATGGGGAGCCTGCGGGGACGGGGACGGGACGTCAGCGTGCGTTCGTATGGAGGGGAAGAGAGAGGAGAGAGAGAGGGAGGAGGTCGTGATCGTGTCGCGTCGCGTTGTGGAGATAACAGGGCGCACGCGATGGACGGGTGCAGTCCCAGGCATGACTCGGGGCAAGACCCCCCGCCCCCCGCCCTTGCCGCACCACACAACAACAACAACAACACAGCACAAAGTGGAACGCCCCCGCAAAAAAAAAAAAAACACAGCGCGCGCACTCACCCCCATGCACCTCCGTCAAATTCGACAGCTGCGCAAACGTGTTCTTGTACCCCAGCGGGACGTACGCGATGCCGTGGTGCGCGAGGGTCGAGAGCGCGGCGACGGCGGTGGATTCCTGGCCGCCGCCGAGGGACGAGGTGGAGACGAAGAGGCCGGCGGACTTGCCGTAGAGGGCGCCGGTCGCCCAGAGCTGGCCCGTGGCGTCCCAGAAGGTCTTTGGGGCGGGGCGGGGCGGGGCGGGGCGGGGCGGGGCGGGGCGGGGCGTCGTGTCGCGTTAGCATGGTGCAGAGACCGCGAGGAGGAAAGGGAGGGGGGACAAGGGGCGGCTCACCTTCCACTGTGCGGGGAAGTTTCCGAAGCGGGTGGGGATGCCGAAGAGGAAGGCGTCGAACTGGGGGAGGTCGGCGGGTGCGAGGATGGGGTAGGCGGGCTTGGGGGCTGCGTAGAGCTTCTTGAGGATGTCCTCGGGGAGGGTCTCTGCGATCCTAGAATCGGGGACGGCGAGGGGTGAGCACGGTCGGTGGAGGCTGGAAGTGGGGTACGGACTGGTAGATCGTGGCGGCGCCGCCGGCGGACTCGACGCCGGTCTTGACGGCCTCGGCGACTGTGTGGTGTGCGGTGTGCGATGAGCGATGCGCGATCAGACGAGACGACGGGGGACGGGAGAACGAGAGAGAGAGAGAGAGAAGACGGGCACGCACGCTTGGCGATGTGGCCGTACATGGTGTAGATGACGATCGCGATCTTGGGGGACGACATGGTTACAGCGGGCGCAGTAGCGGCGGGGGGTGCGGGTTGCTCCTTGGGAGGGTGGGGCTTGGGCGTAGTAGAGGGTTTAGACGCGGGGGAGTCCTCTGCGAGTAGATTTGCCTGCTTCTTTGAGGGAAAGCACATATACCAGCGGGGGGAATGGAGGAAGAGACGGCATCGCGCATTCGAAGGCCCTTTATACGCGCAGTCGGGGCTCTGTCTGTGGTGGAGGGGATGAACTCAGCGCATCCATCATGCACGCAGAACCGCGGTGGGACCATCTTGCCTTATCCGGGCGCACGCGCGACCCGCCGCCCGTCAGCTCACGTTGCACGCTCCGGGACGCATTGTTTTGCCTGGCCCTGCTTGCCGTATAAGGTGCCCGTTTCCCCGCGCGCTCGCCTTGACGATCGCCGCTATCAGCAGCAGCAGCAGCCACGGCTTCGCTTGAGCGCGACGCTGCGGCGCGATGAGACTGATCGATCAAGCACTCGCCGCCGCACGCCGCACGCCGCACGTTGGTCAGCCGCGTCAGCCAGCGTCAGCCTCGTCAGCTAATGGGACGACGAGTGACGCGAGCGCGCGCGCGTAATAGAAAGGTCGACATCGTTCATCGTCGCATCAAATCGAACGGCGTGCGCGCGACGCGCGTGTTTTTGGGGCGCGAACCTCTGCGAACCTCAGCGCGACTCGGCAGCCCAACGACGGGCGTGCAGCACACGGCCCGCAGCGCGATCTAACCCTCCATGAGCATTCATTCCCGCAAGAAGAGCCCGTCACTCGCGACCGCAAAAAAAACGCGCCCCCGGTGCCTCCACCACGACGTCGCGCCAATACAATATCACCCAGAGCGCGCCACCCCTTCCCACACACGCCTCGGCTCGGCTCTGCTCAGCTCGGCTCTGCTCATGATGAGCAAGCACCCCCGCTGCTGACGCCCCGCGCATGACGCGACGCCTCGCGACGCCCGCACGTGACTCCGCGGACCACCGTTAGCGCCAGGCGCGATGGGGTGAGATGGTGGGGGAGGGTCGCACCGCGGGAGGGCGAGCACCGAGATGACAGAGCATCGCGCAGGGGCACAGTCACGACGGTCACGAGGATGTGCCGCATCAGACGACCAGGCTTTCTTTCGTCGATACTCGATAGCACCCTACACAGTGCTACCAATTTTTTTTTGCGCATTCGCTGTATCGCGGAACGACCGGAGCAGAGTCCAGTGTGAGGGGCCACGAGATGAATTATTTTCGGCATCGACATCATGACGAAACAAAACGGGAAACAAAACGGGCACCGAAACACGAACACGAACACGAACACGACCAAGCGCAAAATCAGCGCGCGTGAGCACGAACGAACGAAGCGAAGCAAAGCAAAGCAGACAAAGCGCACAAAGCGCACAATCGCCGCGCGCGCGAGTGGGATACGTACGATATCGCGACGGCGATCCTGTTTTCCTCGGGAAGGAGGCCGCGGTCACCGGCGCTCAGAACACCGACTCGTCCACCCACTGCGCGACACCAGCACCAGCACCAGCACCAGCACCAGCACCAGCACCACCAGCACCACCGCCTCCACCACCAGCACCGCCCACGAGCTCCTCCTCAATCACATACTCCCCCACCGCATGCTCCCTCCCCTTCGTCGCCTGCCCGCGCCCCCGACGATCAGCGCCGCTCACCACAAACGCACAACGACCACACCCACGCACCTTCCCAAGATACTCCCGCCCGCGCGCCGTCTCCCTCTCCAGCGCACGCAGCACGCGCTCCTGCGCCTGCGCGGCGCGCAACACGCCCTCGAGCGCCGCGCGGTCCACCGCCGCCGCGTGCGTCGCCGCCGTCGGGTCCTCGAAGCGCACGGTCCCGTCCGCCGCTATGCGCGCGTCGATCTCGCCGCTCTCGATCTGCGCCGCCGCGGGTGCAGGCGCGGGCGCGGGTCAGCTCAGCTCCGCGAGGCGTAAGAAAGTGCGACCAGAAGCCACGCACCATGCCTAGCACGACGCGCCGCGCCGCGTCCGCGTCGCCGAGCTGCGCCGCGCGCGCGATCTCCGCGAGCCCAAGCGTCATATACGTCTCCGTCAACCTCCGAATCGCCCACCGCGGCGCGCGCCCAAGCGCCTGCGCCACGAGCCCCGCGTTGCCGTCCTGCGAGCGCGCGCGCGAGCACAAGCGGCGAGCGCGACGCGAGAATGTGAGCGCGCAGAGAGAGAGAGGAGTCGACGGAAGCGCGAGGTACGCACGGCATCGAACAGCGCGCGCTCCCGGCGCACGACGTCGCGCAGCGCGCCCGCGTCGGGGTACGCGCGCGCGAGGGCGCCGTACGGCGTCCCGCGGACGTTGGCGATCGCCGGGTGCGTGTACTTTGGCGGCGGGGTCGTCTGCGTCGTGCGCGCGCGCGCGAATGAAAGGGTGCGGGGGGTGAGCGAGCGAGCGGGCGGGCGGGCGAGCGAGCGGCGGGGCGCACCTTGCCGTGTAGGATGAGCTGCACGAGCACGAGCTTCTTCATAGCGTCCACCTGCACCACGCTCGGCTCTCCCGCCCCGCCTCCGCCTCCCCCTCCTGGCCCTCCGCCCGCCCCCGCCCCCACGCCCCCGCCCCCGCCCCCCGGCACCTGCCCGCCGCTCCTCCTCCCGCCCATCCCCCCAGGCCCGCCCATCCCACCCGCACCACCACCACCCGCACCGCCCCCATTACCAGCGCCAGCGACCGGCGCCGCCGCGCACATCTCGAGGTACTCCGCGGCCTCGGCGAAGCGCTTGAGCGCGGCGAGCGCGGCGCCGGCGAGGAGGTGGTAGGAGGTCACGTCTGCGTGGGCGAGGTCGGGGGCGAGGGCGCGCGGGGCGTGGGTGATGGGGTGGTTGGTTAGGAGGGGGAGGGCGGGGGCGGGGTGGGTTGTGGAGAGGCAGGCCTGCGCGTGGCGTGGGGCGGAGCGGGAGGTTAGTGGGAGGTTAGTGGGGGGGAAGGGGGAGGAGGGCGGCGGCTTACGGAGAGGAAGAGCGGGTGGACGGTGGTTAGGTGGGCGGGCGAGGGCGGGTAGCGCATGACGAGGTCGCGGAGGGGCGCGATGGCGGTCTGGAGCTGTGTGTATGCGCGGCGGGGGGTCAGCGTGTAGTCGCGCGCGACGCAACGAGGGCGGGAGAGAGACGCACGCTGCCGCGCGCGTCGGCGCGCTGGTAGATCCCCTTGGCGAGCAGCGATACTATGCGCGGGGGCGAGTCGGTCAGTAACCAGAGTGCGGGCGAGCAAGTCAAGAAAGAGGCGAAGAGAGCACAGAGGGAGAGGGCCACGCACCGCGCTCGGGGGCTAGGCGCGCCTGCGCGGGGTCGAAGCGCGCGCAGAACTCGCCGATGTGCGACGTGGGGAAGAGCGGCGCGGCGGGGGGCGCATCGGACGCGGCAGGTCCGCCGTGTGTGAGCCTCGCGGACCTATCTCGCGACGCGAGAGGCAAAAACAGCACGATGAGCACGACGCGAGGGGCGGATGGGACGGGGACGGGGACGGAGGGAACGCACAGGATGAAGAGCACGATGAGGGACCCGGCGGGGCCGTCGAGGTCGATCGCGTCGAGCGGGTCGCTGCCGTCTGGCATCGGGGCGGCCAGGATCGCCTCGCGGGCGGCGAGGGCGGTGCGGGAGAGGGTCGTCGGTGAGCCGCCTGGACCACCGCCGGTGGACGCCGAGCCGGAACCGACGTTGGTGTATCCGGTGGCAGAGGTGGAAGCGGAGGAGGAGGAGGAGGGGAGGACGCCGTATGCGATGCCGGGTGGGTGGGGGACGGGGTAGAAGGTGCGGAGGAGGGCGAGGACGTTGGGGGGTCTGCGGATGGGGAGGAGCTCTGCGAGGAGGCGGTCGAGGGCGTGGGATTCTGTGGCCGGGGCTGCAGGTGCTTGGGACGTGGGCTCGGGCTCGGGGGCAGAGAGCGGCTGGGTGGAGGGTGCTTGGGTGGAGGGCGGGTCGGAGGACGGGGGCGTCGGGGGGTCGTGCGCGGGGGGAGTCGGCTCGGGCGCTGGGTCGGCGGGGAGGGCGGCGGTGGCGGGGGGCGTGGGCAGGCTCTGGGCGGGCTCGGGTTCCATTGCTGTCGGGGTGCGGTCGCTGTGGGCGGCGCTCAGGTGTGGATCTGGGCAGGCGCGCGCGCGGGCTGCTATCGATGGTCGGCGCTCCCGGCCGCGCCACACCGGGGCCTCACGCCCCCGCGCCGCGCCACGCCCTCGTCACCGCGCGCACGTCCTCGTCCTCGTCCTCGTCCTCGTTGCCCACCCCAGCCGCGCACCAACAGCACGCGCCTCGCACTACCGCACCGCACCGCACCGCACCCTCGTCTCCGCCGCGCCGCCATTGACAGGCTCCAACGACGCAGCACGGGACGAGGCGGGACAGAACAGAACAGGGTAGCGATTCGTTAAAACACGGCGCGACGCGCTAACGAGCAGGATCCCTGCCCTCTCACCCGCGCAAGCGAAAACGATCGACCCGGCGCGTCCTATCTACGAAGCCATCCCCCTCCTCCACGCGTGCCCTCCGCACCTCCGCCCCCGCCCCCGCCCCCGCCCCCGCCCCCGCCCCCGCCCCCGCCCCCGCCCCCGCCCCCGCCCCCGCCACCGCCCCCGTCCCCGTAGAACGCCCCCGCCCCCGCCCTACGCGGCGGTGCTACGACCCTAACACGCGATCCGTCATCGCGCGCGTGCGGCGTCGGCGCTCGTCGAGCGCCTGGCTGGGCGGCAGCTCGAGTTTGAGGAGATCAAGCAACAGGTCTACTTTGAGCGTACCGAGGGCGCCAAGTCTTACTTGGATCTTTTCAAGCCTGGAATTTTCCGTCGCGTCGGGCTCGGCGCATCGCTCCAGATGTGGTCCCAGTTATCTGGCATGAACATTATGATGTGCGTCCTTTTCATTTTCTGCGTTTTCGTTGATGCTGACTATGTCCTATAGGTACTACTATATCGTCCATGTGTTCCAAGGCGCTGGCCTAACAGGTCGTCGTGGGAACCTGATCGCCGATTCTGTTCAATATGTTCTAAATGTTGCCTTCACTGCTTCGTCCTCTTGGTCTGTGCTCCGCTGCTTGTAGTATTGACAGACTTGATGGTACCCGCCATTCTCTACATCGATCGCTGGGGTCGCCGCCCTATGCTTCTCGCAGGCACCCTGTTCATGCGATTTTGGCTGATGCTCGTTGGCGGTCTGCAAGGTAGATACGGACACTGGGGTACACTCGGCACCGATCGTGTTTGGGTCATTGATGGACATGACGGTCTCACGAAGGGTATCGTCGTCTGCTCTTACGCTCCTAGCTTTGCAATCACTATGGGTCCAGGTCCGTCGCACCCCCGTCTCGTATGGGGTGTTTTTGCAATTGATATTTTTACGCTAGTGTCTTGGACTTACCCGGCTGAAATATTTCCGGTGCGCGTGCGTGCGAAGGCTGTCTCGTTATCCACCGCGACCAACTGGCTGTTCAACTTTGCGCTCGCATGGGCAGTCCCGCCCGGGTTAAGCTTCATCGCACACAAGACGTACTTCATCTTCGGTGCCTTCAACTTTGCAGCCTTCATCCATATCTTGTTCTGCTTCCCCGAGACGGCAGGTCGGACATTGGAGGAGATCGAGGCTGTTTTCGAACGAGGCCATATTTTCACCGCGTGGAAGGTCAAGAAGGATGTGGAAAGGAAGACGCTCGAGGATGTCGTTTCTCATCAAAAAGATGTAGTGGTTCGTACACTTCTGACTCTACACGACACCCCTCGCTGACATGTGTTATATATAGCACGATGATGCAAATGAGAAAATTGTTTAGGACCCCATGACCCCGGTCGTTCGCTTTATTTTTCGTTGTGTTTCAAAAATATCGGAGACCGTATGCCCCTTGCTCATTCCTTTCTTGTTGTCTTTGCGTTTCATGAATTGCAATATCTAGGACCATGAAATAAGCAATTGTCTGATTGTCTCAGTCGGGGATAGCAGGAAAGTGAACCATCGCATGCTAGCATTCAATTTCCACCCTCCATCTCGGCTGCACCCTTCCTTGAAATGGTCCAACAAGTTTTGAACACTGCCGAATATCCAGTCCCCGATTTGTTAAAAATGGGGTGTATATTGGAGATAATGTGAATTTTGGCTGCTTTTACCGGATGAAGTAACTTGAGCTTGCCATCTCGCAAAAGAGCCGGCATACGAGTGCAATGAAAAACTACATTAGCAACTTGGTATGTTCCCTGGAGTGCCCCGAAATGCCCTAAAAAGATAATTCCATCAGGCTTTTAGGGCACTTCAGACCACAGGTCATCAGGTATATGTTTTTACAAGCTTCAGGTCTTTAAGGACGTTATTTCAGCTGGTTCAGAATGTTCAGTTAACTTAGGCTACTGTCACTCAGATATTCAATGGTTCAGGTCTGGTTAACATTTCAGAATATCAGTTCTTTTTTGCATCAGAAAGTCAGACCCCATAGAACTGTTAGACTGCCAGGCTACATCTGGAAAACCACCCCTTTGTATTAAGCTCTAATTAGTTTTATTTATGCATAATTAAGAACAATTAGGATTAGACATTTTTAGCTTACCCCCCTCTAAACCTGTTTAAATTAGACATAATTTTCCTAAATTAGGAATTATTAGGATTCATTATAACTTGAAATTTCAGAAAAATAATAATAAATCAAGCATCATAGTTCTCATAGCCTTCTTATAGAGTCATGTTTAATAGAGCACTAGTTAAATACCTAAACACAGAATATACCTTACTACAAACTTGCCTTTTGACAGAGTTGAACCAATAACCTCATGTATACAAGCACCCAGAACAAATGCTTTAAGCTACTAAGCCACAAGGTCTAATATATTATCTTGGTAATCAGAATAAGTAAACATAATATAGGCAATCTCAATATTTCTGATTTTATTCAACATTTATCTTTCCTCTGTCTTATAAATAAACAGGTCAATAAATACCTAAAAAGTTAGGTTTTTTAGGATTTAGTTTAAACACTAGCTAAGAAGATAAGAAACCAATGGAAAATAAATAATATACTTTATATAGGGTAAAAACAAATTATGGCATTTACATAATTTGGATCTAGAATATATAAAACTATGATTGAGTGTAATATTCAATAGGACTCTACTAGTATAGACAATACTACCTTAATTTGCAAATTTGATCAAAAACATGATTATGAATAATTAGCACGAAGGTGCTGTGGTAGGAAGACCACAACAAACAAAGAGAATAGACTGAAGAACCTCAGCCTACTCTATGGGCCTTTTATACTACTTTAGGAAATAGGGCGTGAGAATACCGTATATGTATCTGTAGGTATTCTCTAAGTCGTCTCTCTCAATAATGACTACTCTTGTGCTTCTCCGTTTGTCTCCTTCCGGCCAGGAAAGACTAGGAGCTCAATGCCCGGTATGTGAGTAGTTTGTAAGGCGGCATTCTATGCCCGTCGCAATATGGCTTGTGATACTTGACCAACGATAAGGTGATCCGTTGGGAGTGGATGACCAAGGTTACTATCTGTACCTTGTTGTACGCCTCCCCTTGTGAGGCCGCTTGATATTTGTGATGATCGTGTCGGAATAGACCGCCGTTAAGGCTCGACAGAACGTGATCATAACAGTGATCTTAATATGCTTAGTGCACATATTTTCTATATGGCAGGCAAATATATCATTCTAGCACCACATACCAACATGACTGTCTTTTCCACAGCCTAATAGCTAAAGGAAAACACCAAGTTTGAGCATCTTCTGTATAACAAGGCAATGAACAATATAAATAGTGCTAAAAATTGTACTATCAATAGTGATGATGATTGTGTGCTACACAAGATAGTATTGACCACTGTACTCATAGACAAGGTCTGCAAGGCTGTATGTAGCACATCCCTAAGCCTAACCCACACATTGTGTCCTATAATAACCAGTAGCAGGCATTAGCTAACAATGACAACTTTAATAATCTTGTGTGTAAGGCCAAGGTACCAAGGTCTTCATAGCCTCTTGTGGCAGCTGCCAAGCTGCCACCAAAGTGGCTAGGGGCATCAATGCACATTTCTCTCTTTCTATGTCCCTTTTAAAGGCAGCTAGAAAGTTAGCAAAAGAGCTACAAGATAATAGTGCAGGCATATATGAAGGAGAGTAATATGCTGAAACAGTATAGAATGTGCCACATCTTTACCTTCTCACTGATAGAGTAGTAGTACTTACTATTTCCTACTGCTAATTAAAGACTTCTTAGTATAGAATTAGTGCTAATATCATGAAATTAGAAACTAATCCAATGCTCACAATATGTTGCTCACAATTAGGAAATTAGATACTTTTAGATGCTATTAACACTTTTAAATACTTTTAGACACTATTAGATATAATCCAGAGCTAATACAAGGGGGTGGTTTTTCAGATGTCTACAGTGGCACTATTATAACCCACCACACTTTCTATACTCCAAACATGGGCACACTTCTGCCAAGCTTTGTAGCTTGGCATACTCAAGGCAGTAGGGCTTAGTAGTCATACAGGAGCTGTATAATATATCTAAGGCATCTATAATGCCTATGACACCTGCTAGTACACCATGAATTCATATTCACATTTGAATTGGGTATAGTGAGTGACCTATCTACAACATTATTGAGTGGTGCTTAAACACTGTCTGGGCATAGGTAAGCCTGTGGCCATATGCTGACCCAGATAGAGCTCTTTTCTAGGTAGCATAAGGAAATGTCTACTAAGTATAAATAGGATATAAGTTATAGATTCCTTATAGTCATATACTTGTAGCTTAATACAAATATGTCTACCTTACTGGCCTTTTGCATGTTAACCTCAACTGTTCTTCTTGTAATATATAGACTACTTTTTCTCAATCTTCAATAAGTATTTTAGCTTTTGATAAGTCACTCTTCTTAAATTTGTCTTATGGAGTTCACTTAAGACACTGAGGGATTTTAATGCTGTAAAGTGAGGAAAAGACAGAAAAAAACAGAAAAAAATAACAAAAAATAAATAAGCTACAAAAGGAAATCTATGTATTTCCTAATATATACAGATTTACCTTCACCTTGATGGGCCTTCTCTATAATCATTCAAGGATATTTTATATGTTTTTCTAGTGATATAGAGACCTGGGCAGGCTGGTTATTATGATATGGATGAGCAGACCAATTTTCTGACATTGATGCAATATGAAGAAGTGATAAAGAGAGAGAGATTTGGTAAAATCTCACTGTGTTAAGAGTAGGATGGATATATGGGCAAACAGAGTCACCATGATCTTATTTGATGCAAACAGTAGTATAGTGTTCAAGTTGGTTCCAGCCTTGTTGCCTGTATCCTACATTTACTATCACTAGAGTAATGTTGAGAGATTGCAGAGTCATTATAATAGAAAAAATCCTGAGACCTCATTTGTTTGTCTTTTTCTTTGATTTTTGTATAGGTAGTTGCTATATAACTCCCTATATCATATTTCACTGTCAATGAGACAAACAGAGAAGGGGTGCTGTTGCCGGAGCCTTTGCACTGAGGTGTATGGTTTTCACTAGTGTTTGGAAACCTTGGCTGTGCCGCGCGGCATATGCCGCTAGGAGCCAAGCACGTGAGTTCAAACTCCGGACAAGCACGGCGATGTTAGACGGCGAGCGCACGCCATGCCGCCGCACAGCGGAGATTGAATTTCCGCATGTATCTTCCACCGGTTTTACCCCTTGACAAAAGTGTCCTCATTTTTCAGTGATTTGTTTTGACAAGGCTTAGTCAAAAGTGTACTATACATGTAAACGGACTGAATTGATACACTGGCACTTTCTCCTACTCAAAATGAGGCCTTTGGTGTTCCTCGGAAAGATCTCGGATGGCGCCTGCACACGCCATGCCTGCATTTTGACCACATTTCGACTCGTATCTCACCATGTGCTCCTTGAACAATGACATGGTTTGAGAGCCAGAACGTTCTTTAATTTTCCTTATTTGAGAAATAAACCCGAAAGAAACACGTTAAGGACTGCACACCCCAAATCAGATTTACGAACACTGGTGTGTTTCCAAACACCACTCCAGTGATAGTATCAGTTTCAATACACCTCATTGGAGAGTCAGCTAATCAACAACTTTGATCACACGCAAAAACATGGCGACAAGAGACTGAATTGACAGTGCGCGAGGGAAAGATTGAATAACATGGTGAAGCATCAGAAATATTCTAGCCACGGATAAGAGAGGCCCGAGTCTTCGTGAGCGAATCGGTAATTCCTAAAAAAGTCTCAGCCAGTTGAATCTACCCGGCAATTTGTCAGCAAATGGACATAGACGGGAAAATGAAGCATACTGTATCTAGAGCATCCATGTAGGAGCAAGGAATGGCCTTTGCTGAAGACATCTGGTCCTGCGGAGTGTCTTTATACACTTCCTGAGCAATCTGAACCATGCAACGTAGGCTATAGGAGCTTTGATCTTGTCCAAAAGATACGGCATGGAAAGATAAGGGTTTCCTTAATAGATGTGGGTGAGGCCTTTAGATCTAAAGAGGCGGTTGTTAAGCCGGCTAGGCTTAGTCGAGTGCACGTGATGCACTAAGAGGGGTTCCCTGGGCTGAAGCTGATAGTGACGGCCCACCGAATGAAGACGACTGCTCGTCGTTGGGCTTGTTCCAAGAAGGGCTGGTCTGTATTGATCTTCTCCTTGAAGAGTCAAAGGAGATGCTGGTTGATCACGTGACGATGTTCGTCTGGTACGAACAAGTCTTCTCCGATGCAACAGATGACTTCGGATGGGTCCCAACGGATGACTCGATAGGCAGCGAGTCCTTGATACGTTGCAGGCGGTAGAGGGTGGTAAGAGCTGTGAGACGAGTCCAGTGCTTCGTCAGACTGAGTATGGTTCTTTAGATCTGACAGAGATCGCGAAGCGTGAGCTGGGAAGGCAGCCAGACGCTGGGCGCAGTGCTGAGATCAAGATGTATACAAAGTGAACGAGCTGAGGCTTCTGAGAAGCTCAGCTCCCCTATATATAGTACAGGACTATTTAGGGCGGGACGGACATATGGTCCGTGCTTCGAAACACTAAGTACTATCAACGATCGACATCAGTAAGCCGCAGTCATCGTTCGTGCTCCGCGGCTCACGAATGTAGCCATGTATAGTAAGTAAATCAAATTTCTGTCCGCATCAATCAGAAGTAAGGAACTGATCGTGATCTAATCAGTAAGCATAATAGAAGAGGAACCGATCACGATCGTCATCAGTCATCAGAACAAAAGAAGAAGCATAGTATCGTAAGCGTTCATGCATTAGCATGTGAATGGTAATCAATCCGAAGCAGAAGACGAAAGCGTTCATGCGTTAGCATGTGAATGGTAAACAGTCTGAGTCCGAGTCATGTGCGTAGCTCATGACCATGTCCTGAGTCACGTGCCTAGACGTGTGTCAAGTCACGGTCCTAGTCTTTAACAGTTCAAGTCCGGGGAAACGCCTGACCTTCCCGTTTGTCCACGTGCCAAGCACGTGTTAGGACGCGGTCCTAACACTACCCCCCCTTTTACACTCGTCGTTGGCTCATGACGGCATCAGGATCGCGGATGGGGAGAGCCATGAAAGTGCGGGGATCCATGACGGGGGTATGACGTGTCGGATGTCCTTCCCAGCGGGCGTCATCGATCATCCTGTCCCGAATGTGCCAATAATACCTATAATTCTCCGCCACATGCTCTAGCTGCGTCGAGAGGAGTTCAACTACCTCGCCGTACGCTTCGTAGTCCCGTATGAAGTTCCGGGCAGTGAGGTCAGTGCGGCGACGAATGCGTGTGATGGGACAATTTGCGATGAGGTGTCCCGGTCGGTTGCACTCCCAGCAGAGTCGTGTGTCGGTGGCAGGTGGCGATAGAACAAGAGGAGGGGGAGAGGGTGAAGGGTCGCGGAGAGGGGGCCAGGTTCGTTCAGCAGCGCGGACGCCATCCAGTGGCCAGCCGTTGATCGTTCGTGGCGGTGACACGGGCGTCGAATGATGGACCTCGTGTTCCCTGGCTGCCTGTTCCGGATTGTATGGTGGGCTGCTGGGTCGAGAGATGGGTCGACCTGCGTCGTCGAAGACAGGGATAGGAGGGAGCCGGTTTCCGGGGAATGGGTCGGCGTAGGGGTAAGGAAGGGCGTTGTGGATGTCGGTCATGGGGAGATGGGAGAAGGGTTCTGGCACCGGGAGAGCAAGAGGGGACAGGTGGCGGGTGCCATTGAGGAGAGGGAGGAGTGCAGAGGAAGACATATCCAAGTAGAGGAAAGGTTTGGTGGGGAAGCTGGAGAGAGGTTTGGGTCTCGACAAACGTTCCTTTATAGATTCCTTTCCTTCTTGTTTGAGCGAGTAAAGACGGTGGTGCGGTCGAATCTTGAATAGGCGTAGCGACAGTGGTCCTGGCGAGGAGTGTATATTGGGCAGTGTTTGATGTGGTGGCTCCTGCTCGGATCACCGTCGTTTGTTCGGCCATGCCAAACCGCGATTCGTCTGTCTTTGCAGCTCCTGGTATGCCTGGGTGCGCCAATTTGCGCTGTCTGAGGGTTTGCGCTGTGGCTTCGTCCAAGACCGTTCCGAGTAGGTCTTGCTTGGGGAAGTGTCCGTGGTTGCCTTCTGACTCCTGCCGCGTGGGTCCGATCGTTCCCGATTTAGGTTGTTCGATCGTTCGCTTGTAGCGGAAGTCCTTGAGGATCCTCGATCAAGTTCCTTCCTTCGCGCTTCTGGGTGGTCGGCTGATTCTGTCCTTCTCGACTGCGGAGTTGCTGATGGCTTCGCGAACTGCGCCATCCGTGCTTCGAGGAGTTTCTTGATCTGGGGAACCGTTGCTCCGGTAGCTAGAAGCTTCTTCCAGACGGGATGTTTTCGGAGTTCTTCTTTGAGCTTGGCGTCCTTCTTGTCGTGTTCTGCCGCTATTGCTAGAATTCCCAATGTCTTGAACTTCATCGAGTAAAACGTTTCCGGGATTGGGAGGTCTTGGACTTTCCTCCGGCTGCGGGCATCGTTTACTTCTTTTAGCTGGGCGGTTGCGACTTCTTTGATCTTGGCTGGAGTGGTTCCCTTGTCGAGGTATGATTGTCCGATACGGCGACCTTCGAGTTTGTACTCGTCGTCCTTGAACTGTCGATTCAGCTCTCGTGCTTCTTGCTGAAATTGTCGGATGCTGTATCCTTCGCCCAGAAGTCTTCTTCCTGATGAAGAGTTTAATAACCCTATCGTGATTCAATCTTCTTCTTCTTGATCTTCTCGATCTTGTAGGATTTGGCGAACGTCCTTCCCTGTGGCGAGCAGCTTCCTTCCGCTAGGAGTTTTTTCGAGTTGTTTCCTGACCTGATCTTCCTCGGCTTCTCGATTATCTTCCAGGTCGGCCTGCAATACTCGGATCGATGCTTCCCTTCCTTTGGGCGCGGAGGGGTGCCGTTTATAGAACTCCGCGACGGCTTCCTTGGCATTGGTGACGTTTGCCGCTGCTTCCCAAGAGTTATCCGATTCGGGATAACCCTTCCATTTGATCAGGTACTGGAGGGTCTTCCATCTCCCGAAGCGTTGTGCTCCGATGATCTTCTCGACTTCGAATTCTTCTTGCCCCGCTATTAGGTCTGGTGCCGGTTTGGGGTAGTTGGGTCCATGTGTCGCGTTCTCCTTGTAGGGCGTAAGTCGACTAGCATGGAAGACGTCGTGAATGCGCTGCCAGCTGTTCGGCAGCTTCAGCTTGAAATTGACTGTTCCGATAGTGTCGATGATCTCAAACGGCCCAAATCGTTTGGGTCTTAGCTTCTCCGATGGGTGGTCTGTGTGGATGTGCTTCCCATCTAACCATACTTGGTCTCCTTTCTTGAAAGGCGGTAACTCCATTCCAAAACGGTCGTGCTGTATCCTCATGGCTTCGGCTGCGATTTCGAGGCTGGCTTGTGCTTCCTTCCTAGCACGTTGCAGAGTTTCGAGTCGCACGTCGGCGGTGGGGACGTTCGTGTTTCCTATAATCGCTGGGTACGCCCTTGGTTGGTATCCGTGTAGAAGTTCGAATGGTGACTTCTTCGTGGCTGAGTGCTGGTGTACGTTGTGGGCATATTCCGCGTAGGGAATGAGGTCGGCCCAATCGTCCTGTGAGGAGCTGCAAAATGCCCTGAGGTATTGCTCCAGTTCTTGGTTCATTCTCTCCGTGGCGCCATCTGTCTGTGGATGATATGCTGTGCTGAGCGCCGACTTGATTCCTAGTTCTTTGAGTAGTGCTTGTGCCACTTTTGACGCGAATTGTGTTCCTCTGTCCGAGATGATCTTGTCGGGTAGTCCGTACCTTCTCCAGGTGTGATCCAATAATAATTGGGCCGTCCCGTCTGAGTCGATGTTCTTTAGACACGGTGTGATGACGGCCGTCTTTGTGAATCTGTCTGTTACCACGTGGAGTGAGTCAAATCCGTTTGACAGGGGAAGGTCCGTGATGAAATCCATGGTAATCGTTCCAAACGGTCGGTCTGGAATCTCCGTTGGCTGGAGAGGAACCATTGTTGGATGCGTGTCGTTCTTGGTAGATTGGCAGGTTGCACATCCTTCCACGTATTGGTGGATTGTGTTCGATATTCCGGGCCAGGTGAATTCTTGCCCTACCGCTGCTAGTGTTCCTCTTTGTCCTGGATGTCCTGCGGCTAGATTGTCGTGGTTCAACTGGATGATGTCCCTGCGTAGTTGTTCGTCCTGAGGAACGTAGATTTTTCCTCTGTGTAGGACGAGTCCATCTTCTTCGTTCCATTCCTGTAGGCCTTTCTTCATGCTTCTTGGGCCTAGCTCCTGGATCTTGGCTAAGGTTTCGAGTAGCCACTTGTCCTTCTGGTTTGCTGCTATGATTCGATTCTTGAGGTCTTCGTCAATAATCGTGACGCCTCCTCGTCCTGTGGCTCTGATGTGCCATATCTCGTGGGGGTTCAGTTCGTCCTCTGTGGTGATTGCGTTGACGTCTGCGAAAGGTCTTCGGCTCTTTTCCGGTGTTTGATCGAAAAGCTTGGGTTCCAAGAGCGTTTCGCCTGAATTGTCAAATTCCACCCCCTCTTTATGGTCTGGACGCCGTGACAGACCGTCGGATTTATTGGTCGTCCCCGCCTTGTGCGTTAACTTGTAATCGAAACGCGAGAGGAATAGCGACCATCGTGCTTGCCGACGGTTCAACTTTTGACTTGATCGGAACCATTCGAGGTTCTTGTGGTCCGTCCAGACGTCTACCGGGGTCTCAGCGCCCTCCAAGTAATGTCGCCAAGCTTCAAAGCTCGAACGACCGCTAGCAACTCTTTGTCGTAGATCGGATAGTTGCGTTCTGTGGGTGAGAGCGATTTGGAAATGTATGCGCACGGGTGCCATTTCCCATCGGAGGCGACTTGGGATAGTACTGCTCCAGTAGCGAAGTCGGATGCATCGCATTCGATGCGGAATGGGTTCCTGGTTTCCGGCATGACGAGTACTGGAGACGAGATGAATATCTTCTTGAGTGCTTGGAATGCCTCCTCGCATGCTGTCGTCCAGTCCCAGCTGCGCTCCTTCTGTGTCAACTCAAATAGCGGCCTAGCTATTTTCGAGTAATCCTTGATGAATCTGCGATAGAAGTTGCAGAATCCCAAAAACGATTGGACCTCCTTGACTTTGGTCGGTGTGGGCCAGTCCATGATGCCGGCCACCTTGATTGGGTCCATTTCCAGATGTCCATGAGAGATGACGTACCCGAGATAGTCAATTTTCGTTTTGTGAAAATGACATTTTGAGGGTTGCAGGTACAAGTCGTTATCCTGCAATATCTGTAAAACCTGTTTCATCGTCTTGATGTGTTCGTCCATAGTCTTTGAGAACACCAAGATGTCGTCCATGTAGATGGCCACTCGTCCTGCGTAGATGAGGTCCTTGAAAAGCGAGTTCATCATGGTTTGGAACGTCGCCGGTGAGTTGGTGAGGCCAAAGTACATGACCAGTGGTTCGTACATCCCTAGATTCGTTACGAACGCTGCCTTGTGGACATCCTTTTCGTCGATGAGGATGTTGTTGTATCCGGTGTCGATGTCCACCAGCGAGAAGTACTCCGCCTCTGTCAAGAGATCCAGTAGCTCTTGAATGATCGGGAGAGGGTACTTGTTCTTGATCGTTATTTCGTTAAGCTTCCGGTAGTCCATTACCGGCCGTAGCTTTCCATTTTTCTTCTTGATAAAGAAGAACGGGGATGCCATGTGCGGCTTGGATTCCCTGATGAATCCCTTCTTGAGACTTTCGTCGATGAACTTCTTGAGTTCCTCTTGCTCCATGGGACTGAGGCTATAAAGTTTCGGCCTGAGCGAGTGTTCCATGCCGTCCTTGAGTTCGATCTTGTGATCCCATGGTCGTTTGGGAGGTAGTTTCCCAGGTTTTCGTCCTTCGAAAACCTTCCTGTAACTCCAGTATTCCTTGGGTACGATTTCCTCGAAGGATAATTCGGGTTTTCCTTTCGAGGCCTCTTCTGCCAATTTCTGTGAATTGGTGTGCTTCGTTTGCTTGCCTATCGTTGCCTTGGCAGGCTCCGCCTTGCGTGCCGGTGTATTGGCGACGGAGGTCTCCACGCGATGGATGTCGTATCCTTCCTCGCGGTCGTTGTATAACTCCAGGGCTTCTAGTTGCCCTATCTCCAGATACCTGACGAGGTATACTCCATCTTCGTCTAGGTCCGTGGAAGGTAGAGCCGATAGCGGTCCACCACCTTCCTGAGTCTCCTCTTCTGCCCACGTCGGTGCCGCGTAATTTCTGGCTTGGGTCCTGAGGTAGTACTCCCTTCTCGTGCCTTTGGGTTGCGACCCCCGGATTTTAGGCATTATCCGCGGATGTGGTACTGTAGTGTTTCCCACTTTCCGACCTAGCTGTCCTTTTCCTGGCTTCTGTAATGGGATTGAGTAGTCGCACTCTCGTGGTACTGTCGCCATGCGCCGTATCCCTGGTTTTTGACGTCCTGGTTTTCTAAAGGCCCTCTTCGCCTTGACTGGTCCTCCTATGATGTCGCATGTCGGTGGGCACCTAGTGAAGTGTAGTCCATACGCGTGCCAGTCGACTTCCGGGTTGTGTTCCAATAACCAGTCGGTTCCTAGAATGACGTCCTCTTTTCCAATTTCGGCGATGTAGAATCTTGCCGACTCGATATGTGCTCCCCCTTGTTCGCCTAGAACTCGTAGTTTGAGTTCTGCGAACCTCGTGATCGGTCCTCCTTTGAATTCCGTGTTTTGGACCGTATTGACTGGAATGGGGTGGGGAGTCCTCCTCGTAGTGATTCCATGCTTCTCCACAAAGTTGGGATGCATGAATATTCCTGTTGCTCCGCTGTCGACCAGAGCCTGTGTAGCAGCCTTTCGATTCTTGCCTATGAGTTCCGTCTCGATCTGAAGTGATGGTGCACCACGAGTTTTCATTTTGAAGAGATATAACGTGTCTGGATGTCCATGCTCTTGGTCAGCATTGTCACTGGCCAGAGGAGCGTACCGGTTTCCTGCAAGAATCCTACTCTTCACACCCGCTGCCGGTGGAAGAGACTTTAAAAACCCTTTTTGTTGACTTGGAGGTTGGCGATTTCGCCTCGTTCGATTCCCATTCGTCTGTCGGGTTCCGCTCTGGGTCTGCGTTCGTCCCGATATTCTTCTTCCTCCTCTTCATCCGCTTCCATGGCCCTCATAGTGCGAGGCCTTGGAATGAACCTTCCTCTTGACGGAGGTGGGAATCTTCTTTTGGGTCGAGAGGGACATCCACGCGCCATGTGCCCGGTCTTCTTGCAATAGAAGCACTTTCCTTCTTTGTAGAGCCGGTTCCTTTCTTCCGGCGTAAGCTTCTTGAAGCGGATGGCGTCGACCTCCAATTCGGCTGCGTCTACGTCCATAGGGGCGTATTGGGATTCTCGTTCATGACGAGGGGTTGGGGCGAAGTTCGAATAGTAGTTGGTCGGGGTGAAAACTTGGTACTTCCCCTGCCGAAGGTCTCGTGCGCGCATTTCTTCTATGCGCATCGTCTCGTGTCGTTTGGCCTTGGCTACTAGTTCGTCCCATGTTGCCTGTGCTGCTGGGTCTTGATAAATTCCTCGGGCCAACTCCCATTTGAGGCCCCGTAGGAAATGCGTCTTCTTGGTCTCGAGATCAACCCCTGCTAGTTCGGCGATTTGCTCGAACAACTGGAGGTACGTGTTAAAGGACTCCTTTCCTTGGTTGATCCTAGCCAGCTTGTCTCTGGCATCTGCTGTCTTGTCGAATTCCTCGAAGTCCGTCGAGATCTTTTGGCGGACTGAGGTCATGTCGGTAGCGGGTTTCCACGTGTAGTGGTTCCAATCATCGTTCGTGTTCCTGGCCTTGGTGAAGTTCCTCGCCCATATCCCTGCTGATCCTCCTTTCATGTAGGACAAAGCGTACGCGATCTTTGTAAACTCGTCCGGGAAGTCGTGTTTTCTGGCGAGGATCATCAGGTCGATTTCGTGGAGGAACTGCTCCGTTCGTTTTCGGTTTCCGTCGAAGGGAGTGGGTTTGGCCATAGCCGGTCCCTTGGACTCAGGATTTCTAGGATTTGTCGACATCTCACTGGATGGGGGCTGGTGATCGTCAGGAGGCTCTCCACTTGTATCTGGTTCTTGAGTATGCTCTTCCCGGGTGCTTTCGTCCGGTGAAGGGGTTCGGATACTTGTTTGGGGAGAGGTTTCTTGTATCGGGGATGTAGTGGGCGTGTTTCTTCGAGAGAGTCGACTTCCACTGGCTGTTTCCCTGGGTACGTTATAAACGTGTGGTCTCGGTGAGTTATGATTCCGATGTGGCGGTGATTTAGGCTTGATTCTTCTGAGCTCGGCTGTGACGATTGCGAGCTTAGTGGTCTGTAGTTCGGGTGCGGCGTGGATTTCCTTCTCGAAGAAGGGTCTCTTGTAGAATTCTTCTTTCCCGACTCCTGTGTAGAATCCGGTGAGGATTCCTCCGATGTAGAAGTGTCTGTTCTCTTCGTCACAATAAACGGTGTCTGGGTCGACGTCCTCGGGTAGGTGGTCGAAGATGTAGATCGGGTTATTGTGGTACGGGGGTGGGTATCCTTTTGGGATTGTTGGCTCAATGGTTTATTCTGTGAAGAAGAAGGGGATCTCGTGTCTTCTTCCGGCTCGGAGTCCTTCTTGGAGTGTGGGTTCTCTGCGGATGATTTCGTTAATCCCGTTGTTGATCTGGTCCAGGAGTGTGAGGATCTCGTCAAAGGTTTGTCCAGCGACGACGGTTCGGAAATGATAAGTTTTGTGGGCGAACTCTCCTCGTCGGATAACTGATACGGTGCCGATGATTTCGGTTCGGTGGGGTGAGTATCCAGTAGGATCCAGCGCGTCCTAGTTCGGGATGGTGTAGGTCCAGAAGATGAAGATTGTGTAGTCGCTCCTTTGGTGACTGTTCTCAAGTAGTTCCTGTCTGATTCCTCCTGAATCAACGTCCTGGGTGATGCGCTTTCGAAGGGATGCGATGTGTTCTGCTGGGAAGTTGCTTGGCCTTCCGTCGTCGATGTCAACGGTATTCCTGGTGTGAATAAAGTTGAGTCCTGGATCTCCAACTGTGGAGACTGGTGTCCTGGGTTCGTTGGTGAAGCAAAGCCCCAGAAAGGGGAATCCGATTCTTCCGATGAAGAAGTAATCTTGTGTGTGCTGTAGCCGATATGAGGCTACTCCTGCGTATACTCGTCCGATTGCCGAGTATCTGATGTGGGTGCTGGTCTCTGTTAACCTAGGCGTTCCTTCGTGGGGTGCTTGGTTAATCCTGGTGGCTAAGATGTTGCTGCGGTTTCTTTCTTCTAGCAGTTGGTGTGCGGCTGCTGCTAGTGACTGTAGTCGGTGCTGGTCCAGAGTGTTTCTTCAGGGCAGGGAAGAGAGAGCTCGTTCAAGTGTTAAGCCGGCTAGGCTTAGTCGAGTGCACGTGATGCACTAAGAGGGGTTCCCTGGGCTGAAGCTGATAGTGACGGCCCACCGAATGAAGACGACTGCTCGTCGTTGGGCTTGTTCCAAGAAGGGCTGGTCTGTATTGATCTTCTCCTTGAAGAGTCAAAGGAGATGCTGGTTGATCACGTGACGATGTTCGTCTGGTACGAACAAGTCTTCTCCGATGCAACAGATGACTTCGGATGGGTCCCAACGGATGACTCGATAGGCAGCGAGTCCTTGATACGTTGCAGGCGGTAGAGGGTGGTAAGAGCTGTGAGACGAGTCCAGTGCTTCGTCAGACTGAGTATGGTTCTTTAGATCTGACAGAGATCGCGAAGCGTGAGCTGGGAAGGCAGCCAGACGCTGGGCGCAGTGCTGAGATCAAGATGTATACAAAGTGAACGAGCTGAGGCTTCTGAGAAGCTCAGCTCCCCTATATATAGTACAGGACTATTTAGGGCGGGACGGACATATGGTCCGTGCTTCGAAACACTAAGTACTATCAACGATCGACATCAGTAAGCCGCAGTCATCGTTCGTGCTCCGCGGCTCACGAATGTAGCCATGTATAGTAAGTAAATCAAATTTCTGTCCGCATCAATCAGAAGTAAGGAACTGATCGTGATCTAATCAGTAAGCATAATAGAAGAGGAACCGATCACGATCGTCATCAGTCATCAGAACAAAAGAAGAAGCATAGTATCGTAAGCGTTCATGCATTAGCATGTGAATGGTAATCAATCCGAAGCAGAAGACGAAAGCGTTCATGCGTTAGCATGTGAATGGTAAACAGTCTGAGTCCGAGTCATGTGCGTAGCTCATGACCATGTCCTGAGTCACGTGCCTAGACGTGTGTCAAGTCACGGTCCTAGTCTTTAATAGTTCAAGTCCGGGGAAACGCCTGACCTTCCCGTTTGTCCACGTGCCAAGCATGTGTTAGGACGCGGTCCTAACAGCGGTGTATCGTACTGGAGTATTAGGCTTACCCTAATGTGACTGCCTTCCGGCAAATATCGTAAACTGTCGCGTCGCTGACCTGAGCTTCGCCATCGCTCAAGAAAACCAACACGGGAGCCCTACGCACAATTTCAGTGACAAGGGTTCCAGAGCTGACAATTTCACCAAGCTTTCAGGACTGAAAGAAGACTGCATTGCCTTTTGAGCATCTTTCAACGCAGCCTCAAAGTTGGTGTATGAACACTCTTCTTGTGTGAGTATAAGGTTGAGAAGTTGGTCAGGCGTGCTGGAGAAGTCATTTACGACTCAAGTCTGATTGTGAAGATCAATACACGGAATCTGTCAACGGCACTCTTCGAATGCTTACTCGTGATGATGTGCTAAAGGTAACCACGGAGTACACATCACGCCGAGCGCCATTCGCAGACTGAACAACAGCTTGGCGCGCAGACCAGAAACCATACAGAGCGGAGAGAACAGCACCGTATCTGTTATTGGCTTTCTGAGAGATCAATTGGTACGACGGAGTGTTGGACAAGGGCCGGCAATCTGGCTGCGTCATAGACCACGAACTTTGAAGGAAGTAGAATTGGCAAATGAATCATCCCTTCTGAGTCAATTATGAGGTTTACCTGTCAATCACGAAGATGCTGGGAATGTGAAGGGTTAACGATTGCGCATCTGCCGAGATTGTTCGAAAGACATACACATGGAAAGACTGCCGCAACACTACTGGATTTGCGCAATTGAAAGAGTGCCCATCGTGCGAAACATACCCGAGTGCACTATCCGGAGCTGTGTCAAGGGACAGAGGTGCATGGAAGATCTCCTTAGTGCAGAAAGACTGTGATCCCGTGGTCGCATGTTCTGAGCCTGAAGAAATAACTTTATAATTTAAGTTAAATAAAATAGAGGTTTACGCACCTCCGCATATTGAATCACTTCAATTTTTTACCTGTTAGAAAAATTAAAGTGAAGAGGCTTTGGAGACTGACCATTTCGCGAATTCCGCTTGTTCTTCATGCGAGAAAGGGTCTGAGAAGTCTAGATAAGTACTGACATGGGACGGAAACTGACAAAGAGAATTCGGTACCCTTGAAGCCTATGAGTGATGCTAGTTAAATATTAGCTTGAACAATTTGAGACCTGGCCATACCAAGGCGTGCCCAGTATAGACGATGAGATATCCAATCTTTCTCGCGATCTGGGGATGGATGCATTCTCGCGGCAGTAATATGTTGTACTTCAGTGTCTCGGCAAGTCTCTCTCGCTGTGCTGCGACTGCAGAAGGTAGATTAATTACAGACCAAGACATGATTGAAATGATATACCAGAAATCAATGTGCGCGTGACGTCCCTGCGATGTACAAACCTACTGCTCGGTGAGTGTCACATGAATTTGAGGTGTCAGATACTTTGAAATCACCATATTGCACAGCATGGGAGCGCCATCATCGCCAGATCTGTTATGATCACGTTCTATCGGGCCTACACGGCGGTCTATTCCGATACGATCATCACAAATATCACGCGGCCTCACAGGTTGAGGCGTACGCCAAGGTACAGATATTAACCTTGGTCATCCACTCCCAATGGATCATCAATCATTGGTCGAGTATCACGGGCCTATTGTATTAGCGGGCATGGAACGCCGCCTTATAAATTACTCACACGCAGGGCATGAACCTCCTAGTCTCTCCTGGCCGGAAGGAGACCAACGGAGAAGCACAAGAGTAGTCGTTATTGAGAGAGACGACTTAGAGAATACCTACAGATACATATTCGGTATTCTCACGCCCTCCTTCCCAAAGTAGTATAAAAGGCCCATAGAATAGGCTGACGATCTTCAGTCTATTCTCTTCGTTCTGGTGCTGTCTTCCTACAGTACCCTTCGTTCCCCTGTATCTTCACATACAGGGACCTACGCTCGTACTGTCTTCCTACAGTACCCTTCATTGCTATACCGCAATACACTTCTGGCTCCTGTGCTACACGTACAGTCGAGACCACCGTTCCACACATCCTCCACGAGCGACCTAGGGAAGAACCTCCTACTCTTGGGGTTACCGACGAGCAGTCGTAACACTAGAATAGACTCTTCTGCCCCTACCTTGCTCGCACTAGCTTGCTGCCACACCCTCTCTCATAACCTTGCTCAGTGGGGATATAGACCCCCATTGAGAAAGCGTTACTGCACACACTCTGGAGCAAGACCTAGGCCAGGAATATCCACCCGGCACTAGACGTATCAATAACCAACTCCGTCACAACAATCGCCCTATCCGGCGCGAAGGGGACTTCTGGGTCTACGAAGACAATAACGGAACTGCCCCTCCGAATTACGATAACTGCTCATACCGAAACAGGCGTTATTACTTCACCCTTGAAGACGGAACAGAAGAAGAGGATATTTGGAACGAAACAGAAGCTCAGTGGGAACTAGCCCCACAATACAGGGAACCGGCGCCGGTAATCCCCGAAGACTCGGAGCAAGAGGAAACAACCTCGGAATCAGACTCCGACTCACCAAACCAAACACCGATCAACACCCGAAACGAACCACTCGCCAACATGTCGGGACAAGCTTCGACTTCTACAAACACCCCTTCCGCGACAGTACAACCTGGAAGAGGAAAAGTCAAACTCCCAGACAATTACACAGGCGACCACATTGAATCCCAGAAATTCATGCTCCAATGCCTCCTTCTTTTCGCAGCAGAATCCGATCGGTACAAGACCGATCAAGACAAAATATCCCTTGTGCTCTCATGCATGAGATACGGCACGGCGGGAGCCTGGGCGGAGAATTTTCTCCTCAGATCAGTAGGAGCAGATCCACCTACCGACCTAGGCACCTGGAAGGACTTTTTAGCAAAGTTCAAATTACAGTTTAGGGAGACGGGCAAGACCGACAAAGCGCGAAGCGCTCTCATGGCTTTCTCCCAAGGACGAATGACGGTTGATGAATACTCCAACCAATTCATTCTCATCGCCGCCGATGCCGACATCTCCGATAAAGAGCAAGTCCCTTACTTCCAACGCAGGTTAGACCCGCGCGTCATGGACAAAATATACGACAAGGAAGTTCAGCCAAAGGATACCATTCAGGACTGGATCAATACAGCCTGCGAAATAGATGGACGACTGCGAGCCAGAACAGCTCAAAAAGCCATCCTCGCCAACTCCACCTCCTTCCGAAGCGATTATCTGAATCGTTTTCATAACCAAATCTCTCCCCGCTACAACTCCACAAACGCCCCTCGCAGAATGAATAACCAGGTGGTAGACATGGACATCGACGCCACCAGGAAGCGTAATGCCGAAAGTCAAAAGAGAAAGTTTGACGGCAAGCGACCAAAATGTTATAACTGCGGGCGCGTAGGACATTATAGCGCTGACTGCCGATCCGCTCGTAGAAGCGTTCCACCAGTTCGAGGAAACTCGAAAAGACGCTTGGGTACGACAGGGAGAGGAAACCGCGCAGTTGATTTGGAAGGAGAAGACGACACACCCGCTATGGGAAACCAAGCGGGAATATATCGAGGAATGGAGACAGAGGATGTCCCTCGCAACGACCAGCGGGTACCACAACCTGGTCCTTCGATGGAACGTCCTCACTCTACCTCATCCGGACGACCCCAAACGAACCATGGGCAACGCGCTATGTTACCTAACGGACGACGGGGAGACGGAAGCGTCAGTCATTCTGCTCGAATCGGAGCAGTACTCGGAGAATTAGGGGAAGATGAAGCAAGAGAAGTGATCTTGGGACACGCGGAGCGTTTTTCCTGACCTCTCCCTCACCAGCGAAGGAGAGAGGTCAAGGACGACCCGAGTTTGATGCCCGCACTTGTATTCGTATCGGAGCAATGAACGACCGTATCATCACCCCCATACGCCTGAACGTGAAAGTATCAAACAGGAGTCAAAACGCTGGAGCAAAGGCAACCATCGACTCGGCCTGCGAAGGGGTTATAGTAAACGAAACTTGGGTCAAGAAACATCGTTTCCCCACCTATACACTCAACAACCCCATTCGCGTCCGGAATGTCGACGACACTATTAACAAAGCAGGTCTCATCCGGTCCGCCCTGGATGTAAACCTCACCATTCGGGACATCAGAGGACGAACGCATACTGAGCGCGTCCAAATGTTTATCTCCAATCTAGGGAAAGACGACCTTATCCTAGGAACAGATTGGTTGAAATACCACGATCCCTCCATCGAATGGAGGCGACGTGAAGTGCACTTTGATCGGTGCCCCCAGAAATGCCAGCAACCATATGGGTTCACTAGGGCAAGGGAAGAACCGCCATACAATAGGCGGTTATCAGACGTGGAGCCACGGCACAAACCACGCATCAATGAGCGCGAAAAACAGCGCCTAGAACATCTCCGAAGACTATCGGAAGATGTAGGACTCCGCGACCATAGCGGAACGTTTGGTGTCCAACTACGAGCATACCTCAAAAGGAAATGGCTCCTAAAGGACATAAGGAAATACGCAGAAGAGAAACGAAAGGCTCAAGACAAGCCATCTCTTTCACCAAACGAGGGAGAACCTGATCTCCCAGACAAACCCTCAGGAAAACAGGCCACCCGGGACCCAGTTATTCGGAAACTGGCCCCCGAACCGTCAGGATTTGCCAGCTTCGACCAAGACCTGGAAGACGAAATCATCGTCACCAATCTAAAGGAAAGAGTCCCCAAGGCGCATCACGAATTTTTGGACATCTTTAGCGAACGAAAGTCGCAGCGACTCCCAGAGCACACTTACTGGGATCATGCCATCGACTTGAAACCAACCTTCAAACCTCAAGTGCCCAAAATCTACGCCCTGAGCCCAGAAAAACACGACGAATTAGGGAAATTCATCAAGGAACATCTGGAGAGAGGAACTATCCGTCGATCCACCTCGCAAACAGCAGCCCCATTTTTCTTTATAGGGAAAAAAGATGGAAAACTACGACCGGTACAGGACTATCGCCACTTAAATTCGCACACCATCCCGAATGTGTGCCCCCTTCCACTAATCCAAGAACTACTGGACGTGATAAAAGGGGCCATCATTTTTAGCAAATTGGATGTACGATGGGGATACAACAATATACGCATCAAAGAAGGAGATGAGTGGAAGGCAAGCTTCATCACCCCGTTAGGTTCTTACGAACCTACGGTGATGTTTTTCGGCCTAACCAACTCACCAGCCACCTTCCAAGCTATGATGAACATGATCTTCAGAGAACTCATCACAGCCAGGAAAATAACCGTATATATGGACGACATCCTCGTTTTCTCCAAAACCATGGCAGAACATGTTAAAATCCTAAATCAAGTTTTCCAAATCCTACGTGACAACGATCTGTATTTGAAACCCGAAAAATGCGAGTTTTACAAGGAAAAGCTCCAATATCTGGGATATACAATTTCAAAAGACCATGTCGCCATGGAGGACTCAAAGGTGGATGCGATAAAAGATTGGCCAATCCCACGCACAGTCCGCGACATTCGCTCCTTCCTGGGTCTAGGGAATTTTTACAGGCACTTTATTGACAAGTTCTCACTCATCGCGTGCCCCCTACATGACCTCACCAAAAAGGACGAGAAATGGAACTGGACTACAAAATGCCAAGAAGCTTTCGAACGATTAAAGAAAGCTTTTATTAGTAAACCTGTCTTGAACTATCCCGATCCCATGCACCCATATCGACTAGTAACGGACGCATCACTAATCGCCTATGGAGCTACCCTTCTACAAGAAGGAAAAGATGGTGACTGGCACCCAGTCGCTTTCCTCTCTGGATCGTTTTCACCAGCAGAGCAGAATTACGACGTTCACGACCGGGAACTCTTGGCTATAATCAAAGCATTGGAACACTGGAATCACTACCTCGAAGGCGCACGACACCCCTTCGAGATTTGGACAGATCATAAAAACCTGGAACACTTCCAAACGGCGCGAGACCTATCACGACGACACGCCCGTTGGAGCCTTTATTTGAGCAGATTCGACTTTACACTCAGCTATAAAGCAGGATCGACAAATCACTCTGATGCTCTGTCCAGGCGTCCAGATCTAAGTGAGGGGGTAGAATCTGACAACAAATCTCAAATTTTACTCCCGGCCAAGCTTTTCAACAAATCCAACGAAACATTGGTAGAACCGTCCCCGACACGGCATATAAAATCCACGGAAATCGCCTCTTCAAACCTCATTTCCCTCATCCGACACTCGAAATCGGAACATGACGCCTTAACAAGAGTAGCTCTTGCAAAACTCCTGCGAGTAGGTCCACAAGGGATGAGAGGATTAC